CAGTTGCATGGACTAGAGCTTTCCCTGGTGCACTCACCACATACAGGGAAGCAGGAGCGTGCATGTCATTTGCAGGCTTCTGGCTCCAAAAGATGGAGCTTTCTGCAGAAGGGGTCAGCCTGGGCACGCACCAGAACCTTTTCTCCAAACTTAAAAAGTTAGAAAGGTCTTAAACTAGCTTGATGCCTGGTGATTAAGAAGCTGGATCTAATATGGTAAACTGCACTGTTCAAGTCTGGACCCAGCAGCTTGGAAGACATGACAGGTACATGTGTGCGTGCTCAAAATCCTGAAAAGAGGGAGACATGAAGGAGAAAGAATTGCAACGTGACCATTTCACATGGGTGGGGCTTCCCCCCTTTATCCATTTCTCACTGGCAAGCACGCGTGCCTTCTGGCACATTAAAAAAAAATAATAATCTTTTTCCAAGAGGCTGGATTCAGGGAAGGGAAGGGAATAAGGGATCTGGAGAGAAGGGCAAAAATATTTTCCTAATACTTCAAGAGAGTCCAAATCCTGTTTTATGGATGAAGGCAATCAACAGGATTAGAGAGAAATTTCCCTATCTTCAACTCTCAGCTAAAAAAGAAAAAAACCTTAATCTGCAATTGATGTTGAAAACTATGGTGGCTTGGAGGAATATTATCTATATTATCTATATGGAGGAATATTATCTATATGAGCAGTCTCAGGACTCAGTTCAGCCAACAAATTTAATCAATCATGTCATGTCTGAAAAAATCCCTCAGTGCCTCTGTCCTACCATTAGACTCAACTTTAAACTCCTCAGGGCCATGCCTTTCACGAGCAGCCCTGGACCCTCTTTAGTCTCACTTCCTGGTCTTTCCTGGCCCCCCTCACAGCCCATGGTGGAGAAGCTAGGAACATCTTGCAGTTCCTCCGATTTCTGAACCTATGTAACTGTCATTTCTTCTCTATTCAGCTACGTCCTATTCAGGTAACAAGATTAGGTTGTTACCAGTGAGCAGGGTGAAGGTAGGTTACCTAGTGCCTGTCTTTATAACCTTTGGCCTTTCAGGAGTGGTTGCCTTAAAGGAGTTTCAAAAGGTGAGCTCAAGGGCAACCTGGCTTGGAAGGCTTCCTGGCTGTCCTGGAGGTAGTTCTCCTTGCTCTCAAACATTGTAGCACATCTCTCTTTATTTATTTGTACTCATTTCCCTTTCCTTGCCAGAAGATGTGTACCCTTCCCAGAGAGAGACAAAGAGAAAGGGAGAAACATTCTTCCATGAGGAATGGCCATGCTGCAATCCCTTCTCCTTCATTTTATAATCTTGTTGGGATTTGGGGTACATACACATACACACGCACACACACACCTGGTGGTCCAAGATTTGAACCTCTGGGTTGGTCATGTGGGATCTTGCTTCCCCATCCACCAGACCACAGAGCGGGCCCCATATGTCTATCTGTAATTATTATGCTATATTTAAATATTGTTTTCCCTTTTTTCTGAGGAAAGGGACTGTGACTTATGCATCTCCATGTCCCCAGTGTTAAGCCACAGCACCTAGTACCTAGAACTCAGTAGGTACTTAATAAATTAATTTTTGAATGAAAGCTCTTCTAGACCTCTACGATATGAAAAACACTGGTTCAGGCACTATTGAGGGGACATAAAGTCTTTTTCACTTTATTATTATTTTTTTAAATTGTGAGCGGGTGTGTGCACTTGCCGGACAGCGACAGAGAGGGAAAACGAGAAAGCATCCCCCGTATGGGGTAAAGCAATCCCTTCTCCTTCATTTCTCCCTCTTGTCAGGATTTGGGGCATGCTTGCCCGTGCACCAAGTGTGTCTTTCAAGTTGCCAGGGCAGAGCCTGGAACTGTGGTCAGCCATGTGGGATCCTGCTTCCTTGGAAATAACTAAGCTCTGAAAAAATAATAATTAATGTGGTTTATTCTAAGCAAGAGATTGAGAGTCTAAGCAGAAGAAAAACAAAAATGTTTCTCAGAGTGCCGAAGTACAGTGGTTCCTTTCATTTTGCTCTGAGAGCAGGGGAGTTGTCACTCAGCATGAGTCTTTCACATTGGCCCGGTCCAAAAAGGTGAGACACCTAAAGGTCCTGTTATCAATGGACTGATACATCTGTTAGTGTTTGTAGTTATAAAGCCCCCTCCCCCCTCAACCCCAACCCAGGCCCTTCGGAAATAATTTTGGAATGAAAAAAAGAAAAAAAGCAGTCAGACTTTTGTCCTTATCCCTTAATCATTACGCTACAGGGCCAGGCAAATGTCTCTGATTTTAATAATGTGAAAGTCTGGGGTGAACAAGATATGAAATGTTTACAAATGTTGACAACCTTCTGGGATGAGGTTGCATGTAGTATCTAAGAGGTGCGTGACTTGATTTAGAGGGGTTGAGCTGATATGCTAGGGAGAGTAGGGCTTCTACACTACAGGAAGGGAGCCTATTATGAAGGAAAGTGGTAACAAAAATGGATCTTCTCAAGTTCTTCCACTGGCTCCCTGGAGTAGGTCTATTATCTGGCTTTAGGATCTCTGGTCTGCTGAACAGCTCCTGAGACAGATAAATGGATACTTGAATCCTGGAACAGGAAGAACAACAAATCATTTAAACAAGCAGGATAGACATGTCCTTTCCATATGATGTGTGTGGGGCCAGCAGATGGCATAGTGGTTACTTAGCTAGATTCCCACATGGCTGACCGCAGTGTGAGTCCTGGACCTGGTAGCTTGAAAATCATGCCAAGCATGTGTGCATGTGTGCCCAGGGTCCTGGGAGGAGAATGGGGTAGAAGGGATTGCAATGTGGCCATCACATCTGGGGGATGATTTCTCACTTTCCTTCTCACTGTCTCTGTTTCTTTCTCTGGCGAGCATACACGCCTTAAGGCAAATACCTCTTAAAAAATACTAAAATCTTGGGACCAGCAGATGGCATAACAGTTACGTCACTGGACTCCCATAGAGTTGACTGTGGTTCAAGTCCTGGACCTGGTGGCCTCAAACTCATGCAAGGCACATGTGCATGTGTGCTCAAATCTTTTTTTTTTTTGGAGAGGTTTTTGCTATAGGTCGCATGCACTTGCCAGACAGACAGAAAGACAGAGAGACAGAAAGTGAGAAGTCACTCCCCGGGGGGCTGGGCATGCATTCTACTCTAGGGACCTTGGGCACGCACGCACACGCGCCCGGCGTGAATTTAAGCCACCGGATCTGTGACACAAACCACGGTCGACTACATGGGAGTCCAGCAACATAGCCATTACGCTAACTGCTGGTCCCTGTGCTCAAATCTTGAGAGGAGAATGGAAGAGAAGGGATTGTGTTGTGGCCATCCCCGCTGGGTGGTGATTTCTTGCTTTCTGTCTTTCTGGTGAGGGCATGTGCCCTCCAAAAATCTCTAAAAAAAACAAAAAATAGGGTCAGTAGATGGTGTGGTGGTTAAGGTGCTGGACACTCCCACATGGCCGACCATGGTTCAAGTCCCAGATCTGGTGACTTGATTTCTCCCTTTCCTTCTCTCTTGTGTCTGTCTTTCTCTGGTCAAATGAAATTAAATGAATGAATAAGTAAAATTAAATAAGTAATTCCTTAAAAAATAAAATAAAATCTGATGTGTGTCTAGAAATTATTATAATTCAGAGTAAAGGTCAGGAGGCAGTCATTTCAAGAGAAAAAGGAAAGATTATTGGACAAGAGGTCTGAAGCCAGAGGTGCTTCAGCCTACCAACTAGAACAAAGGATCTTTTACAGGGCAACTGAGTAAGGTATTTTGGGAGACTGCATGTACGGCAGGTACGGAAGTGTGGTCAGGCATGGTAAGATTGGCTCATTCAGTACACATTGAATATCTTCTGATTTTCATTTTATTTTGAGCTATTAGACTCTTTGCTTGTTTTATGTCCTTGTGTAATAGTGTTTGGGTCAGCGCGCCCTTACATTATCAGTCCAAAATCTTTGCTACTTGTAAGATTGGTTTAGCATCATTCTTTAGGACAGGGATCCAGCACTTGCGTTTCATGAGTAGTGCTGGATCACAGCAGGGCACAATGGTTAACTGGACTGGGTATGTCCACAGAGCTGAATTCTAATTCAACAATGAGCATTACTGATGCTGCTTCTGATCCTACATAACTTAAAAACCGTCTGAAATGGATTTTTACAATCTGTCTAAAAAGATCACATGTGCTTTATTATTTTTAACTTTTATTCATTTTCATTGTTTTATTATTATTATTGAAGTTGACCAGGGAGAGACAGAGAGAGAGATAGAGGAAAGTGAGAAAGCAAGCTGCCAGGTCCGGGACTCAAACTATGGTCAGCCATGTGGAAGTCCAGCTGCTTTAACCATCACACCACCTGCCAGCCCGTTGTGTGCTTTAAACATCATGGAATATAGAGTTGGGAAGTGCCTCCTTGGTGACTGTATAAACTAGGTCAGATTGGCATCTCATTTTTATTCTCCCCTTTTTTGTAATCAGAGAGGAAGTGGAGGAAGGGGAAAACATCCCGCTAGTCTAAATGCACTTATAATTCTTATTGCACCTTTTGCTTAGAATTAACCACAGCCTTGCCATGCCTCAGAAACAGTCTAGGATTTCTTTTAACTATTTAAATATCCACACATGTGTTTGGTTGGAACAGGGTGATATCTCTGATGTGCAAGCCCCTTTGAATTTCTAGCACAGTACCTGGCATATTTACGTACTCAAAAAATGCTTGTTAAGGAATTAATGAATGAGTCTGAGGAGGAAAGAAGTTTAGATGAAAGTTATTTCTCTCACTGTAAGAACATGTCTTCTTTCAGATATGAATCAGCTAGTTAGCTTAAACTGTGCTTTTTATCTGTTCACCAGGTGTAGCTGAGAGCTTCAGCTGAGATTGAGAGTCACTGCCCGAGGATAATAAAGTGGGCGGGGATCTGGAAGGCGCAGAACCGAGAAGAGTAGGCGGAGTCACAGAGAGTTGGAGCATTTCTGTCCAATCAAAAGGAAACGGTCGGAGTAGGAGGGGGGCATAAGTCAGAGCGGGAGACCGAGAATCCTGCCCAGTTACAGGAGCCGTCAGCCCAACTGCAGCTTCTCGGCCTCGGAGCTTCTGCCCACCGAGAGCGGCCTGTAGGCAGGCGGACTTCAGCAATGGCCTTTGCAAATTTGCGGAAAGTGCTTATCAGTGATAGTCTGGACCCCTGCTGCAGGAAGATCCTGCAAGATGGAGGGCTCCAGGTGGTGGAGAAACAGAACCTGAGCAAAGAGGAGCTGATAGCCGAGCTGCAGGTAAGGCGAGCAGGAGAAAAGTGAGGTCTACGGGTCATCCTCTACTGAAACAGGCTGGGCGTCCTGAGATTGGAGGCTGGCGAGGGCGAGCCAGGAGAAGGGGGGATGCAAACTTTCTGTTAAGTTTGCAGCCGCGTGTTTCTCGTTGGACGGCTTCCAGTGAGCACTGCAAAGTGCAAGCTGCTCCAACTGGTCCTGCAGGCTGCCCGCGGGATGCCAGCGCGGCTCGCTGGCGCCTTGGCTCGCAGTGGCCATGGCAGCTCTCTCTGCCTGGTTCCCCGACTAACGCGCCAGGGCATCGGGGGAGGGGCGCCAAAGTGGCCTTCCTGCGGGAGCCCAGGAACGACGACTCCGGACAGAATCCCGGCTCGCTTGGGTGAGTCTAGCCTTTGCTGAGGGGTGCTGACGAAGTCCCAGGCTGTCTCCTGGCTGCTGGACAAGCAGCTGGGGAAGGCGGCCCCCCTGGGGCAGCAAAGCGTACCCGCCTTTTGTCTGATGCAAGACTGCTGCGCGCTTTCACCGCCCCTCGGCCTCCTGGGGGCGTTCGGAGGAAATGCGAGGGGCGGGCGAGATCCTTGGGCCGCCCACGCCGCTGCCGCAGCAACAGCAGCAGCCGCAGCCGCTGTCCAAGCTGAGCCTTTGCTCACCGCTGTGACCGAAGGCCTCACCTTTGGCCTCATCGCTGATCGGTAGTGACCAGACTGGACCAGAGCGATGTCAAACGCTCCCAGGAAAATTTTCAGCAGATCTTACAAACGTATCTCTGTACCTCCGTTTGTTGGGTTACACAATTCTTTTATTCTACTCCAAATCGTTGCCTTGTTTGTAAAGGTCCTGCCGGGTTTGGTGACCTTTTCCAGTCTTAGGACATTTAACGTGTGAACTTTACACTTCAGTTTCTGTACTTTCTACCTCTGCAATAATTCACACAGCTTCCTCATCTCCCCCACCCCCGAATCCCACACCCACCCAGTGTGGCCTCCCACCAGGCTCGGTGGGTGTTGACTACCTCAAACCGTTCCCTGCCTGAGGGCCCCTTAAAACCACAGAGGCGGCTGCTGTGGCCTTAGCTTGCCACAGCCGCGTGGTCCTAGAACTGCCCTGCTCTCCTTCTGCCCGTGTGTCGTGTGTTGGCTGCCTTGTTTTACTACCCACCCTTGCCCAATTATCCAGCCCCTGTTCTGAGCTCAGGGGTGTTTCTGACTTACCTCCGGCCCTCAGGCTCTTGTAGGCTACTGAGGAAGCGGGGTCCACCCTGGTACTGGTGCCACCTGATCAGAGGGCATAGCACGTGGGTGCTAAGTTAGACCACCAGGCTGGCCTAGCTTCTGCCTGCTCCCCTGTGGGGAGTGGAGCACAGAGCGGGACTGATCATTCTGGGCTGAACTGGGAGGCAAGGGCTCAGGACCTGACCCTTTAAGCTCTGGTAGGATTAGACAAATGGCAGGCACCTCACATGTCCTTTTGTGTGGATGCTATCAATAGCCATGGCTCTGGACAATGACCTGGGAAGGCAGCGAAGTGGTCTCCAAACCAGCTTCTGACCCTCAGCCGCCACCAGAGACTCCAACTAGGGTTTTGCAGCTGTGAATCGAAGTTGGAAATCTTATGCCCAGGAGGGAGAGCAGAGCTAAGAAGAATGGAAGGCCCCCTCAGTAATGGAGAAAAAAAAAAAATGGAGGAGTACCATGAAGGCAGGAAGTTGGCTGGATGGTGCTGGGAGTCTGGTGTTGAAACTCAGTTTCAAAGACAATGAAAACTCTTGGCAGGAGAGTGGGGGCATTTGTTGGCTCACTGGATTACTGAGCTTTGGGCACTTAGGGAGGGCTCAGGCTGGGTGTCTGTTTTTGTAAAACATTTGGCTCTGAATACCAATTAATCTCTCCACTGAAGGGTCCTTGTTCTACACTGCACTTTTTCATTCTTGAGAAGAGATGTCTGGCACAGTGTCTTCTGCCCTCTCCCGCTGAAATATTTAATGCAGAAGGAACGATTGCGCAGGTGTGGGGTTTGGGGGTGGGGGAGACGAGGCAGAACTCACCAGTCTTAGTTCCCGCCGCATCTCTGCATTCCAGGCAGGCACAGTTTGCTCTTGTACTCCCTGGTCAGGGAGAGTGAATCATTCCTCCTCTCCCCACCATGGGTCTTTCCAGACTTGAAGCAAGTTGCAACTCTAATTAGTGGGTAATGAAATCGGTCTACTGGGTCATGCTCAGCATTTTCTTTTAAAAATGAAATATCAGAGTAGTGAAGATAGGAAGGCTAAGTACTGTTTCATGAACTTTGTCTCAATTATATATGTTGTGTGTGTGTGTATGTGTGTGTGTGTATGTATTATGTGAGTATAAAATCATGATTTAAAGATGGATTTATACTGTGGGTCTCAGTCAAAAAAAAGTTTGGAAAACACCAACTTACAATATTAGAGTATCTTGGGGCTGACAGGTGGCATGGTGGTTAAAGGGTGCTGACTCCCACATGGCTCACTGTGGTTTAAGTCCTGGACCTGGCAGCATGCTTTCTCACTTTTCCTTTCTCTCTGTCTTTCTCTCTTTTTCTGCCCCTCTCTAATCAAATTATAAATAAAAAATAAAGTTAGATAAAAAAAAGTATATGTATTTGGAGAGGTTTTTGCTATAGGGCGTGTACGCTCCCCAGACAGAGAGAGACAGAGAGACAGAAAGTAAGAAATCACCCCCCAGGGGGGATGGTCACGCCGCAATCCCTTCTCCTCCATTCTCCTCTTGGGATCTTGGGCATGCATGCACATGCGCCCAGTGTGAGTTTAAGCCACTGGGTCTGGGACTCGAACCATGGTCGACTACATGGGAGTCCAGCGACATAGCCAGTATGCTAACAGCTGGTCCCAAATGAAATAATTAAAAACAATATTGAACCATTTATTTGGAACTCACATCTTAAATCTAATGCGCAGAAAAACATTTAAGTCATCTTACCATACATCAATGGTTTTAAGCTTGTCCCTGAGCCACAATAACTAACAACTTATTGTAACTCAGTACACTCATGCATATGTGTACACAATACTTACACATGTTTCATGAAATAATGCTACACATGATGCATTTTGATATGCTTCTGTTTCCTTACATAGTCGTGCTGGTCAGGACCATAAACGAAATACTAACAATGCATTTCGTTTACTGAAGCTCATTTATATCTTTTTTTTTAAGAGATAGATTTTTGCTATAGGGCATGTGCTCTCGCTAGTGAGACACAGAAACAGAGAGACAGTGAGAAATCACTTCCTGGGATGGATGGCCACACTGCAATCCTGTCTCCTTCATTCTCCTCTTTCAGGATTTTGGGCGCGTATGTATACACACCTGATGTGGAGAGGTTTTTGCTACAGGGCACGTGCGCTCGCCAGACAGAGAGAGGTTTTTGCTATAGGGCGTGTGCGCTCCCCAGACAGAGACAGACAGAAAGTGAGAAATCACCCCCCAGGGGGGATGGTCATGCTGCAATCCCTTCTCCTCCATTCTCCTCTTGGGATCTTGGGCACACACGCACACATGCCTGGCGTGAGTTTAAGCCACTCGAACCGCGGTCGACTACATGGGAGTCCAGCGACATAGCCATTATGCTAAGTGCTGGTCCCAGGGCTTTTTTGTTTTTTTGAGAGAGAGATTTTTTTTTTTTTTTTTTGCTTTAGGACAAGTGTGCTTGACAGGGAGAGAGAGAGACAGAGAGACTGAAAGTGAGAACTCACCCCCTAGGGGATGGCCGCTCCACAATCTCTCTTCTCCTCTGTTCTCCTTGGGGTTCTTGGGAATGCATGCACATGTGCCAGGCATGAGTTTTATGTCACTGGGTCTGGGACTCAGACACTACATGGGAGTCCAGCGACTTAACAATTACACTGTCTGCTGGTCCCTCTTTATCTTAGAATCTTAAGGACTACTAACTAGTAATTTTTTTTTTTAAGAATGATTGTATTTAACTTTATTTATTTATTTATTTATTTGACCAGAGAGGGACAGAGTGAGAGTGAGAGAGAGAGGGAAAGTGAGAAAGCAAGCTGCAAGGTCCAGGACTCGAACCTCAGTCAACCATGTGGAAATCCAGCACCCTTAACCACCATGCCACCTGCCGGCACCCCTAACTAGCAAGTTTTTAGCCTTTGCATTAGAATTCAGTTTGCAAAAATTAAATAACTGTGTAGTTAATCAAGCTTTCACATATTACACAGAGCAGGGTTTGCCTGCATTCTCTGGTTGGGAGACATGTCCTGGAGAGTTTCGTCAGCTTGCCCCTTGTCTAAGCTGAGGCACAGGCCATATTTACTTGCTCCGGTACCAAGCCTGTCCTCTTGGGAAAGGCAGCATGTGTGAACTTGAGGAGCAGGGAGGAATTTCCACTGCTGAGTTAGCAGAGTTTGTCTGGACAGCTATAAATCAAGCACGGCAGTGACAGGTTGTTTTCCAGCTGGAAGGCAGCTAAGAACAAGGTTGCAGGGAGCGGACACGTAGGGAATCTTGGGGAGTGCCTGTTTGCAGCTCTCCTACAAAAACTGCTGCAGAAAGCAGTAAACAGCCCAGTGTGGTGCAGTACTGCGAGACTTGCAAAGAGGGAAGACCTCCTGGCCCTGAGGAAGAAGGTTTCTAATCCCAGACTGCAGAGTAGATACATGTTTGATTAGGGCTGAAATTTGCATAAATAGAGGAGAGGAATGGGCATCACAGAGCCAAGGCTTTGAGGGCTGAGGCAGGAGGCTGCCTTGGAGTGCAGGGAGTTTGAGAGCTCAGCTCAGATGATTGTGTTGTTGACTGTCAGTAAATGACTGGGAGGGGGTAGCTGAGGTTACCTGAGGGCCTGGCAGTCCCTGACCAGACCAGTGTGAGATACCTGGTTCTCCAAGTCTGTTGAGTACCAAAGTCCGAGTTCTCAGATAACCCCCAAACACAGCCTTTAAAGACACCTGAACCAATAGGCATTGCCAGACATCACGCGGCTTCTCCAAGATGGCATCAAGGATCCCCAAGAAAAGTCTCTGGGTCTTCTGGTGATCTGCTCCTAACGGCTAGCCTAGCTGCTGGAGGATAATAGAAACAGGCACAAAGGACTAAATGAAAATGCAGGCCAGTATGTGGTATGGAGGTTAAAGCAGCCGGATCTCACATGGTTCGAATCCCAGACCCAGTGACTTGAAAGACATGCTGAGCACACGTGTGTGGTGTGTCTTATATCCCAAGAAGAGAATAGAAAAAGGACTGAGGCATGGCCATTCCCCCAGGAGGTGATTTCTCTCTCTCTGTCTCTGTCTCTGGTCAAATTTAAATAAATGAATGAATAAATAAAATAGAGTAAAATAATTCTTTAAAAAATTTCAGTACAAATGTTTGCTTTAGGAATGTGAGATAGAGCACAGGAAACCAAACTGTAGGTCAAAGAGCAGAACGACTCAGGCCTGCTTCGTGACTGATTGTGGTTCAAATACTGGTCACCAGCAGCTTGAACACACTGAGCACCTGTGCATGTGTGCCCCAAATCCTGACAGGATAGAGAAGTGAAGAAGGGTTTGCAGTGTGACCAAGCCCCCCGGAGGGTACTTTTCTCTGTCCTTCTTTCCATCACTCTGTCTCTGTCTGGCACACACACACACACACACACACACCCTCTGATAAATTTTATAAAAAGGAAAATTCAATGTGAAACACAAAGGGATTTCAAAAAGTTTGCAGAAAGTGGAATTAAAGTTCACATTTAATTTGGTGCAAAAAATATTGAAATCCAGGCATAGTTTTTTCATAATATACATTTCTCACGAAATGAAGACCCCTCATATTATGCTGCTCATGAGAACATGTACAGAAGATGGGAGGAGCGATCGATCGTCTACACCATGGTTGTTTGCAAAGGTTTTGTAGAAAACAAGTTTACTGTGCCTTTAAAAGTCAGTGGAATGTGGACTGCACAGGCAGAGAGATTGTTTTTGTTTTTCGGAGCCAGTAGGGTGGACTCAAATGTGGGACAGATGGCATAGGCATTGGCTAATATTCAACCAGGCAGCTATAGGGAACAAATTAGGGTACCTTTTAGGTGCCACCTGGGACTGGCCTCACCATCGGGCAGTCAGTCCTGTGGTGACTTCTGTTTTGTTCCTCTTGCCCTGTGGTGTCTATGTGACTTGTACACTCCTAGTCACCCTCGTTAAATGGTCAATTTTGGTGCATCTATACTGAGCTCCTTGAAGGCTAGGGCTGACTCATACTCATCTTGAATGGGTCTAGCATACTTACTAGACACATACTTACCAGGCACCCCATAAGTGGAAGAAAGAAAAGGACAAGGGAGCGGCAGAGAAGTAGGAGTCTTGGCTTTGTTGGATTTCAGCTTCTCATTTGCAAAATGGGGTTGACCAGATGCTTGTGAACATTTCTTTGAGTCTCTCACTTTGAGGTTCTATTTCAGAACTTCGATATTAAGGGCTTTGAGTGCCTGTGAGATGGCCACACTTCCTTCCCTGCCTTTTATAGTGAGGACACCCTGCAAGGGGGCAGCATCATAACACTCCATGGTTCTGGAGCTCATCTCTGACTCAGGGGAAGCTGTGACATGTGTGAGCCCTCAGGAGGTCTTCCCAGACAATGTGGTGGGCTCAGATCTTTCTTCTTCTGCCTCAGGACTGTGAAGGCCTGATTGTCCGCTCAGCCACCAAGGTGACCGCTGATGTCATCAATGCAGCCGAGAAGCTCCAGGTGGTGGGCAGGGCTGGAACAGGCGTGGACAACGTGGATCTGGAGGCCGCAACAAGGAAGGGTGTCCTGGTTATGAAGTAAGTCATGGAGACTGAGGAGTGGGGGTGAGACTGGCCACAAGGAGGGAAGCAAACTTATTTTGGATAAGGTGGAATCAGCATTAGAGAGCCTTTAGGAGGATGCCTGGCCTAGGACCTGAGTTCAGACAGTCAATACTTAGGGGTTTCCTGTGGTTTTTGAAATGCAGGCTCTTTGTGTAACCTCCAAATATATAATAGTCCTCCCCACCTGGCATGGGCAGTATTAGGACATCTGTGACTGGTCCAGGAATCAGAATGTTTGTGAATTTTCTGCATCCTCTGCTCCAGCTCTACCTCTACACCTCCACTGTTCTATTTGTGGCAGGTTTTTGTCATATCTGCCTTTCTTTCTTTCTTCCTTTCTTCCTTTCTTTTTTTTAAGCATTCTTTCTTTCTTTCTTTCTTTCTTTCTTTCTTTATTTATTGTGATTTTCAAGCTGCTGCATCCCGAACTCGAACAGCATAGCTGGCCATGCAGGAATCCAGTGCCTTAGCCACCACACCACCTGCTGTCCCCAGATCTGACTTTTTCTTCCTTGTACCGACTCAGAACCTTTGCTAGTGCAGGGACTCTGTTCTTTCTCTTTCTCATTTTCCTGCAGCCTTTTGGAATCAGAACCCAGATGTTTCAGATCTTCAAGGCCACAAGGGTCTCCTTTAGAGATGCTTTTGTAGAAGCCCAGGGTCAAAGGTCATTGTCAACATGCACATGTCATACTGTAGCTGTTCTGGCACTTGGACAGTGCCATCCCCAGTCCTCTTCTCTGCCCTCAAGCCTTTCTCCTGGGCACCTTCTTGTCCATTCTTCTCCCCTGACTCTTCCCTCTAGGAAGGAGTTAACTGACCAGTCACCTGACTGAAGTCAATATCTGACAGTAGAAATGTTAAATAATAACCCATCTTACATTTTTGTCCTGGACCCAGAGGCAGCCAACCCCCAGTTTCTGTGTCTTACCTCCTGCCCTATTAGCTGGGGAGAACAGGGAGCTAGATGGTCTTGCAGGAAGACAGATTCTGAGAGTCCTTTTATCTTTACATGATCTTTGACTTATTCTCCTTATAACTTTTATTTCCAAAGATGAAAAGACTTGCCAGGGGACCTATTTTTCTTTTCTTAAAGACCTTTTTATGTTTTTGAAAGAATTTAACTGTAGTTCTGTGGTTGCCACCTCCATTATCTTTTCTACAAAATGGACACAAGTCAGCTTTGCCCTGTGTATTAGGACTGAGGCTTTCTCATGAGAGAGTTGGAGGAGGCAAACAGGTGGTGATAAAAATGGTAGCTTTGGGGCCACTGGCCTGGAGGTTAAGGTGGCTAGATCCCACATGGCTGGCTGTGTAGTCTGAGTCCCAGACCCAGAGGCTTAAAAATTACACCAGGTGCATGTACCCGTGTGCCCAAAATCCTGAGAGGAGAATAGAGAAGAAGAGATTGCAGCATGGGCATTCCTCCTGGGCTATGATTTCTCACTTTCCGTCCCCCCTCTCTCTAGTGAGTATATGCATCCTATACCAAACTGGGGAAAAAAGAAAAAGAAAGAAAAAAGTTTGCTTGTTAGTATTAGAAGCTAGGTTGGGTCACTTGATTAAGGGAGATAGATTGTGAAATGAATGAGAGGAGAGAGAAAGGGTCTGAGCCACACACAGATCTTCTGTTTCTGTGAGAGGAACACAAACTACTCCTCTGCCCCAGAAGAAGTAAGTGAGTTTGGGTGGAGAGAGAGGCCAGGTGCAATCCTCTAACAGAGGTTCCTCTGCATGGGAACAAAAAGCCAGGGCAAAGGGGTTTTCTTCTACCCTGGGATTAGGGCAGGAGCGGTACATCAGAGGACTCCAGATGGTGGTATAGGGTTGGGATGTGTGCTAAGATGGTACGTTCCTTCAGTAGGGTGGGGAGCAGCCGCCCTCAAGGCCTTCTCTTCACAGGTGTGGAAGTGCTGGATCTAGGCTCACTCACGTTCCTGCTTGTCTTTGCTCCATAGCACCCCTAATGGGAACAGCCTCAGTGCGGCAGAGCTCACCTGTGGGATGATCATGTGCCTGGCCAGGTAAGTGCCTGACTTCTCAGATGAGCTCGTGTCTCTGGCACTCCACTTATTACACCTTGCCAAGCAGACTGACTCACAGAAACTTGGAAGCGTCCTGCTGAGGCCTCCCAGGCTGTCACTGCTCCCTTCAACATTCGTACACTGACAAAAGTCAGGTGGCTTCCTGGGGCCCTGGACCATGTATGGGAAGGGGGTGGTTACAGAGCAGTTGCTCCATCTTCCAGGAGCAGGCTCTTTGAGAAAACAAGTGTGTGTGAGATGCGATCGTCCTTCTACTTCCCCTCATTTCCACATACACGGTGCCTTCTCTAGCCCCCAACTTTTGCAAATGTTCCCCATGCCCTGCTGCCTGTAGCATCTTCCCATCATCCTTAGGGGTGTGGGCCTCCAGTGTAGAGAGAGCAAAATGGATCTGGTACAGAATGTGCCGGAGTTTTAATGTGTCAGGTGGTAATCCAGCAAAAATGATGGTATTGAGCACTTCTGTCAAACAAGTAATCCAAGGCTGGGGGCAGGTCACAGTGTGAAGACCCTGTGGGAGTATCAGTCTCTCTCCTGCCCTCTATCTTTATGCTAGAAATAAATGAATACACTTAAAAAGAGAAAGATGCACTGAGATCCCTCCATAACTCAGGGGGAATAAAAAGTCATTAATAGCACAACTGAAATCCAGACACCAGGCTCCCACCAGATACCATGTCTCTCCAGGGGTAGAGACATTAGCCCAGGAATTTACCCTTTTCCCACCTGAAGACCTAATCTTCCTCCTGCAAGCAGACAATCTGGGGAGTTAGCCTTTGCTCTCACTCCTGCCCCAGAAATCTAGATGACAGACCAGGTGTTCATTGGCTTTCCCAGGTCAAAGAAGGGAGCGTGGGAGAAATGGAGGAACAGGGACAACTTATATAGCAGAAGACCTAAGCCTAGAAGGGGCCGCTGGCTAACCTTCTGGATCTCCCAGAACTTCTGGGCTAATGTCTCTATCTCTGGAGAGATATGGAAGCCTGGTGTCTGGATTTCAGTTGTGCTATTAATGACTTTTTCTTTTTTTTTTTTCCCTTGAGTTATGGAGGGATCTCAGTGCATCTTTCTCTCTTTTTGAGTGTATTCATTTATTTCTTGCATGGCGATAGAAGACGGGAGAGAGACTGACATTCCCACAGGGTCTTCACACTGTGACCTGCCCCCAGCCTGGATCATAGGTGCACAAGTGCATCACCATCGTATACGGGGATGCCTCTGGATGCCAACTAGCACCTTCTCCAGTGGGTCCATTTATGTTACCGCTGTGCTGCCATTTGGTTCTCAGTGCAGATTCCTATTTAATTAATTACCTCACTTTTTTTCTGGATGTGAAAGGAAAGGATTGGGAGCCAAGAATAATTTCTCTCCTATTCCAGGACCAGCTTTATTTAAAGGAGTATATGAAGTGCTGTGATTTTATTTATTTATTTTTTAAGTTTTTGCCATAAGGCACATACACTTGCCAGAGACAGAGAGACAGAGAGAGGGAAAGTGAGAAATTAATCCCCAAAGGGATGGTCACACTGTTGTCTTTTCTCCTCCATTCTCCTCTAGTGATTTTGGGCATGCATACACATGTGCTTGGTGTGATTTTTCAAGCTGCTGTGTCTTGGACTCAAACTATAGTCGGCCATGTGGGAGTCCAGTGCCTTAACCACCATGACACCTGTCGGCCCCTGAAATGCCGTAATTTAAGGGAAGCTGCAGCTCCCAGCCACTCATCCATGACCTCACTCATCAAAGATGCATCAAAACTAAGAAGTGCGGTGTAGGACTTAGCAGTCTCTTGTGCTGATTATGTGATAGTCTCAGGCTGCTTTCCCAGCAGGGCAGTAGTAGGAGGGAATGGGCGATGTAGACACTAAAGTTTAGTTTAAGCACTGGGCGATGTGGGTGGAGAGGAAGCCCAAATGGGCCTCACAGTGGAGACTTTGAATAGGTGATGGGAGTTCCTGAGGTGCAGGAAGAGAAAAGTGAGATGCAGGACGAGGGAGAATGCCACCACTGTAGGTTTCCCCGTTTTTGCCTGCTTCTCCTCCCCATGGAAGTCAGGCTGGCCACCATTTCATTCTTGTGAGGTCCCTTACTCATATCATAGTCTTTCCCAGTTTGGCCTGGTGAGGACCCTGGAGAGTTGAAACTTGGGAGGCTCCATAACCAGCTGGACATCACAGCTAGAGGGAGAATTGGAGGATTTCTTATGCTTTGTGGTGTCGCAGACACATTTCTTAGCACTGTGGAGACGGGGATGGAAAACAGGAGGTGAGAGAACTGAGCAAGAGCAGATGGGGGCTCCCTCTCATAGGTCAAAGATAATTTCTCAGGCCAGCTTTCCTGAGTGGTGAGCAATTACTCAAAGCAAGTCACTGTCCTTACTCCATCCTGAAATGAACCCTTCACTGAGGCCTGACGGAAGCAGTGAGGTGGAGCCCCTTCTCTATGAAGCTTGTTTCTTAAGCTTTGTTGAGTTCGCCGTAAGATCCTGGGACTCTGATGTCGGAGGACAGATTGCATCCTCAACTTTACCCTCCTGTGGAAATCTGTGTCCTGGTAATCAGCTGGAAATACAGGAATGATATCTCAGAATTTCTCTTTGTACACACATACACACTCATGGGCGCTGCATGTTAGGGCCAGCAGGAAAGCCTGCATTTCAACACTGAAGAGGCTAACTGCAGTGAGGATGCCATCTCTGGCTTTAATCTTTTCAAGTGCTTCCAACTGCGTGTTGCTGGGTAAGTGGTTGAACCCCTAGCACCTCCCTCCATGCATTCACTGTGAGTTTTTAATAAGCTACAGTGTGCCTGGGTATTTATGGGAGTGTGGAGTAGAGGAGGTTCTCCATTCACATTGTTTCTCATGTCTGCCTTTTTTGCATCCAGAGATGCCTTGGTGCCCCATGTCCTGCACGGCATGTCTACTCTCTGACCTCTTACTTTGCCTTAATTACCATTCCTCTGTACCCTCCAGAACACTCATCCAGAGACTTAGGCCTCCCTGGAAACCAGTGATAAGAGACAGGCTATGAAGTGTGTGTGTGTCTGTGTGAGTATGTCTGTGTGGTGGTGGGTCAAGAAGGTGTTGCAGATGTTTGAAGTGTTGGGACCAGGCATTCAGGATAGAATGGAAGTCTTTGGTCCCTGACTAGCTTGAGACCCTTGGGGCCTATAAACGTCAAGGAAGATGTCATCAGGTATTAGGAGACTTTGTAGGTTGGTAACTGAAGGCATTGTACGTTGTGCTTTTAATGTGATAGGAAGATGCAAAGAATTCCTTGAATTTCTGGAATACTTAATGTCTCCCCCCCCCAATTCCCTAGTCAGTTATCCCTATAAAACCTGGAGGACTGGTGATTGCTGACAGGAGAAAATTTCCCCCGAGTCCCTGACTGGTACCTCAGCGGGAATCAGAATCTCCTCCCAGACTCTGGCTGGAGACAAGTCCCTGGGTTCCCAAGTCAGGTCTTGCCAAGAATTTCCCACTCTTACCATCCCTTACTCCTCCTTGGTGTTTCTGACCTTAATCTCCAGACCCAGGCTGGCTTTGGCTTCTGGGGGAATGACCAGTGCAGGCCTCATTTTGCACCTCCCTCTTGGGTGGGCCAGGGTCTGGTGGGCCCGCTGAACCTGTGTCTGTCCTTGCAGGCAGATTCCCCAGGCTACGGCTTCGATGAAAGATGGCAAGTGGGAACGGAAGAAGGTGAGCAGTGGCCTTGCCTCACCCCACCTGGGCTCAGGGCCGAGGGCCACTCCTGGTACCAACTCTCATTTGTTTACCTTTTACCCATTTGGTTGCAGTTCATGGGAACAGAGCTGAATGGGAAGACCTTGGGCATCCTTGGCCTGGGCAGGATTGGGAGAGAGGTGGCCACCCGAATGCAGTCCTTTGGGATGAGGGTAAGATGTCGCTGGGCCCCTTGGTTGTGGGGCTTGTTGTGGCAATTATGGGAGAGGCATCTTGGCTTAGGAGAAGTCAAAGGCTTGTTCTGGGAGGGTCTGACCTCCCTTTGGAGCCCCAACTGAATAGACAGTAAAGCCAGGAGGGAGGGAACACTGGCCTGCAGATGGGGACACTTGAGCTTAAAACTGGAAATACTTGGAGGTCCTTCAGCCTAGGTGAGTAGGTAACCCTGGATCTCAGTGGACCGGACAGGATTCTTGTATCCTGGTTTAGTACGAGGGCTTCCTGGTTTTGCTGTGATTGCTTTCCTATAGTAATTAAGAAAACAGGAATAATTCTAGCCTTTGAATAGAGCAGTTGTCCACCCATCCTTCCTGTTTCCCTCTGTATTCCAGAAGAGATTCAGAGGGGCTTCTAAGAACTCTGTGTTGTGACTGTTGAGCCCATGGTGGCTGGAAGACCTCACACATGCTTCAGAAATCACACCTGACCCCTGCCTCCTCAGGACGCTGCCGTTTTTTACCCTGGGAGCTCAGTTGGCGTCTGGCTGAGGAGGAGTTATAATCAACAGCAATGTAGTTATAATCAGTTGGCCGTCCGGACAATCCAGTAGACTTTGTAAAGAGAAGAGGCTGTTCAGCTAAGAGCAGACTGAGAGTGCTAGCAGACATCTCCATGTTCACTATAGTGAGAGAATTACAGGGAGTATGGGTTCAAGCTGGAGCCAGAAGAGCTTTAGTTAAACATGGGAACTAGTTTTGACAATCAGATCATCTCAGGTCTAAAAAAATGCACCCAGAGCTGCTACAGAATTTTCCCTTACTTTCTCCCTTGCTCCTTCTCTTTCTCTTCCCCTTCTGTCTTCTTAGAGTTAGAAGGAACTGTATAGGTTAACCCTTAATTTTATATTGACGTCAGAATTTGTAAATCTGTGCCTAAGGGCTCATAAAGAGTGTGGATGGCAGCCTGGGTCTGCCGGGGGCATCCCATTACCACATCGGACATCTCCCTCTCCTACTTGAACCCCTCCCCACTCTGTTTATCAATTGGAGTTGGATATCTTTGCTAAGTCTCAGTGCTGGGAAGGACCAGGTTTACTTTAGATCCTTGAGCAAGGTGGATATGGCCCCGCAGGAGCCATTGATCATGAAAACAAACCACAACCTTGCCCTCTGTGCAGGTGGGCAAGATGCTATGAGCCACAAAGAGCATTTTCTCCTCTTTGGTCAGGGATTAAGGGCAAGGTTTGACCCATGGAGAATTCTGAGCTTCTAAAAGCCAGGGGTCAGGGGTTAAGTAAAACTAAGGACATGTAGCCCAGTGGGTGAGCATTTCATTGATGATGCAGTGACTCAGAGGCAGTGGCCAGGCTCCTCCTACCCTTCCCTGTGGCACTGCCTCACATTGGGCTCTGCTAGCTAAGGAACGTTCATTACCAAGGGGACCTTGGTGGGGACTTAAAAGCCAGACACAAAGCCCCACCTTGTTTCCCAAATGACTGAAGTGACAGGGAGCTTGTCTGTTCATCCAGCTCCCTCAGCTACTTCCCCACCACCTGGGCGGCTTCCAAGAGTCACAGGGGAATGTGGGACCTTGAGCATCAACTGACAAGTGACTTACACCTCTCAGGATGTGTTTGATTCAGAGATGCTGAAAGCCTGCTCGTCTCAGGTTCATCTGTGTCTCTGAGCAGATCACTCACGACATGCCCGGATGTTTTATTCCCAACACATCTTCGAAGGTGTGGGCGCCTTCACTCTGGTTTCTTCTGTCCAGGTGTCTCTGGAAGGTCTCTCACTGTGCTATTTCCAGAATGTGCTCTTTGTAAGGCCCTGAGATGTGACTAAGCCCGTCCTCTCTCCCACCTCAACCCCCATGAGTCACCTGGACCTGGTCGTCCTGCAGTGGGCCCACTGCCCCCTCTTCATGCTTGGCTGCTTACCTTGACCATGCTCTTACATGTTTCTGGGTCTGGATGAATTTTGTCTTAGGGCCGAGAGATCATCAGCCTACATCTTGCCTTCTGTCAGTGTTCTAGAAGTCATGCAGAGCAAGATTTTCTAAAGAGAAAGGGAGGAAGATTCTTAAGCAACTGTGAAAGAGATGGTAAGCATCCAGACAGGAAGCAATAAGTGTATATTAAAATCAGTTGTTTCGGATTAGCCTTGTCAGTTTGGACATGGACACCCCTGGATGTTGTGTATCTGAACTATTTCAAATTGTATTTTAATCATATAATAAATAAATGTAGTCTCATAAAAATGAACATAGGTAAGAGTCTCCTGATCGCCATTCCAATTCTAGTCTCCTCACAGTGGTGTTAGTTTGCCGAGTGTCATCCCAGACTTTTTTCTATGCTTTCACATAGAAGGTATATAGTTCTGTGCCCATAGACGGATTCTGTGCCACTAGGAAACTGAATGTTGTACATGGCAAGATAAAAATTATGTGTTGATGAACTTGGTCTGTCATACTTGTAAGCTGGTATGTGGATTCTTTTGCATGGATAAATTGCTTTCTATCTGGCTGTTCCCCCAGGGCTGGACACTTAGGTTTGCAGATGTGGACTTTAGCCAGACATCTATCATGATCCCTTGGGATTAAGAGAGAGCCCCTGCACTTGGTGCCAGAACTGTAAAAGGAATGAGTAACTGGTTGAAGAGGGGACCTCAGTCTGGGGTCTGGGGAGGACTGTACACAGCAGTGTCCGTGTCTGTCTTCTTTACTGTTCTCATCAACAGCCAGGAGGCTGTGTCACTGTGGCCAACAAGAAGCAGGGAGAACAGTTAATAATTAAAAGTGCAGAATCAGGTCCTGAAAGACATAAGAGACTAGAATCCCTGGGGACCCTAACAGGGAATTTAGCTAGAATACGTTTCTTTTTCTTTTCTTTCTTTTTTTTTTTTTTTAAGAGAGATTTTTGTTATGGGGCCTGTGCACTTACTGGAGACACAGAAAGAGAAAGTGAGAAATCAACCCCACGTGGATGGCCACACTGCAATCCCTTCTCCATTCTCCTCTCAGGACTTTGGCCATGCACGCACACACATCTGGCATGTTTCAAGCCGCCGGGGCTGGGACTCAAACCATGGTTGATCATGTGGGAATCGCTATGCCACCTGCTGGCTCCAGCTAGAATACATTTCAGTAGCCTACCCCTGAGTCCAGAAAGCAGCTAGACAAGTTTTGGATATAATGTTTGTAAAAAGTTTTTCTGGGGGAGGAGAGCTTTGGTTCACAGAAGAGCAGCGTAGTTAACAGCGGTGTGGCTGATAGAAAAGGTAATGTAACTTTTGACCACATTACTAAAATATGGCTTCCAGACCAAGAGAGGTGACTTTCCTCACACTCTCTACTGGTCGGCCTGCAGCCTGCTGAGGTCTGAGTCATAAGTGAGCTACACTCTACACTGTTCCTTCTGGCTGAAACTTCTCAGTAGCATTGCTGAACAACAGGTTGAACTTTAGAGACTCACCTCATTCATGCTATCATGTCCCCTAGAATGTGTTAACAGGCTCAAGTCAGTCAGAGCTGATCCCAGCACTGCCTTATCATGGTTTTCTGTGAAGGAGCAGACCAGCATCTCTTAACAGTTTCTTTGTGGCCAGTGTTGAGACGAATCTGACTTTAGCACAGAGGGATGGACGTTGAACCTGAGGCCCCAGTTGTCACCAACTTTCAGGGACAGCTACTGTTTACTGAGGTCTGCTGTGTCAGTTAGTATGCTCACAACCACCCTGCAGGGTCGATATTATTACCCCAGGTTTACAGATAAGGAAACTGAGGCCCCTGTTGAGCTCTAGATAGCAGGACGAGCATGCAGTGGAGTCCGGCTCAGACTGTCTCCTGATTCCAACCTTCCTCTCTTTACTCAGTGCCACCACTGTCTTCATTCCTGAATCCAGTCAGTTAATAGTTCCTGCACTGGGACACTGGGCTCAGCACTTCCAAGGACAGTAGCTCTCCAGGATAAGCAGCTCCTGGTACCTGGATTCTTAATGCCCTAGAGCAGTGATTTTCAAACTCTTCCCAAGGGCTCAGGTTCTGGGAAGGTGCTTTAAGACACAGGTGGGGATGAGGGGAGAACCCACTGCTGGTAGTAAGACTTTGGGCTTGTACCTCTAACTTTGAATTAAGCTGTATTTTTTTTTTTAAGAGGACACTTTATTTGTTTATCTTTACTGTGGGTTGCATGTACTTACTAGAGAGAAACAGAGGGGGTGGAGGACAGCCATGCTACAATCCCTTCTCCTTCATTCTCCTGTCAGAACTTTGGGTGCACACATATACACACTTGGCCTGATTTTCAAGCCACTGGATCTGGGACTCAATCCTTCCAATTAGCCATGTGGGATCTTGCTGCCATAAGCACTATACCACTGCTGGCCTGAATTGATTTTTTAAAGTTTATTTATTCATTTCCTCCATGCACAAGGGAGACAGAAAGAGAAAGAGAGAGAGAGAACAGTTCTGGTAGAGTTTTTTATTTAAGAGATATTTTACTATAGGGCATGTGGACTTGTCAGAGAGACAGAAAGTGAGTAATCACTCCCAAAGGGGGAGGGCCATACTGTAATCCCTTCTCCATTCTCCTCTCGGGATTTTGGGCATACATGCACCTGGTGTGCTCTAACTTTGAATTAAGCTGTATTTTTTTTTTTAAGAGGACACTTTATTTGTTTATCTTTACTGTGGGTTGCATGTACTTACTAGAGAGAAACAGAGGGGGTGGAGGACAGCCATGCTACAATCCCTTCTCCTTCATTCTCCTGTCAGAACTTTGGGTGCACACATATACACACTTGGCCTGATTTTCAAGCCACTGGATCTGGGACTCAATCCTTCCAATTAGCCATGTGGGATCTTGCTGCCATAAGCACTATACCACTGCTGGCCTGAATTGATTTTTTAAAGTTTATTTATTCATTTCCTCCATGCACAAGGGAGACAGAAAGAGAAAGAGAGAGAGAGAACAGTTCTGGTAGAGTTTTTTATTTAAGAGATATTTTACTATAGGGCATGTGGACTTGTCAGAGAGACAGAAAGTGAGTAATCACTCCCAAAGGGGGAGGGCCATACTGTAATCCCTTCTCCATTCTCCTCTCGGGATTTTGGGCATACATGCACCTGGTGTGAGTTTTGATCTGCTGGGTCTGAGTTGACTGCGATTGACTATGTGGGAGTCCAGCTGTGTAACCATTATGTTATCTGCTGGTCCCCCTAGCAGGGTTTTGATGCCGTGGTCCATGCCCAGCCCGTTCAGGGAGGTCTCTGGAATGGGAACTTGGAACCTTCCCATGTGGGTCAACTCTCCAGAACATTGTGCTTTATTGCTGTGCCACTGTTCCACCTCAGGTCTGTTTTTATATTGAGTTTTTATTTATAAATTATTGTAGCACTAGGGAAAGTTCCAATGCTAAGTCCCCAAATCTTGGCTGTGGAACAGAGAGAGAGTGGCTGTTGGGGTTCTCCATCAGAGCCTCTTTAACCACCCCATTAATTTGGAGGCTCCTGTGTGTCTACCTTCTGTTAAAGTGGCATGATCAGCTCCCATGTCACCAGCTACGAGAGGCCCTGGAGAATCTCAAAACTTGGAAAGCTAGGCTTACCCCATTGCTCTGGGGCTGAGGTTGAGGAGCCTCCTCCCAAGGCTCCTCTCTAGGAATAGTCAGTCTTGGGGTGGTGTGAACCAGGAGGTGCTCCAGCTTCTGCACCCGAGGACTCCAGGACCCTGGGAAGGCTTTCACTCCTCCCAATATAATTCCCCCCAGTTGAATTCAGCTCCTTCCTGCCCCAGTTATCTCAAGTGAAGACCGAGAACAAGAGTGTTCTCAACCAAGTTCTTGCCCTAAAGTCGTGTGCAGATAAATGAGATACTGTCTCTATGGGAAAGAAAGAAGTAGAGTATGTGACCCACTGACCACTGTAGAAAATGGTTATTGGCCACTTCTCTCCCCCACCCCCAGGCACCTGCTGGCCAGAAGTGGGCCAGGCTCAGTCAAGGCTCGGCCATGGATCCTGCCTCCTGCCTGTCCTGGGCTGTTTCTCAGCTCCTGCTTGTGGAGCAGTGATGGTGTCTGTGCACTCCCTCAGTCAGGCTCTGCTTCATGATCTCCATTTGGTGTCCCCCTCCTCTCCCTGCTCCAGAGGAAAAATTCCAGAGAAAAAAGTACATCTGGACTAGAGATGAACAGGGCCTTTGTCCCAGCCAGCCCTGGAGCCAGCAGACAAAGAAGGCTTGTGAGAATGAGGGCAGGATCCTATCTGCTTCCCTGGACATTTCCTCCTCCCCACGGCAGTGAGTAGTAGGCTGTATCTGACGGGGCAGCAATGTCTGAGAAAGCCCTCTGAACTAAGACCTTGAGCTTGGTGAGCAGCTGGTCTTTGGAGGGCGTGGGGGAGGCCACACCTTTTCCCAGAACTGTCCCAATGTTTGGGGCGGGCCACGTGGCTTTCATTATTCTACAGGGCAAAGGATGGAAAGTGTGTTCTGGATGCTTTACACTCTCCAGGTTCTTCCCTAGAAGTACTGAATCTAAAATAGAAGTTCTCTTTTCTGTTATATTCTAAAATAACTTCTGTGTTTCCCTAATTTCAAAAGTAATTCATGAACAGTAAAACTTAGAACCCACAGAGGACAAAAATAATTCTACCACCCAGAGACAACCGTTGTGTTCTTTCTGTTTGTTTTTGCTTAATCCTGGGCCAACATTTTCTTTTTGGGGTCTTACAGGCCCGCCCAGCTTAGTTGGCTGTCCTGCCTCTTTTTACGGTTTCTGCCATAAGGCTTATGTGCTCACCAGAAAGAAACAGAGAGAGAGTGAGAGGGAAAGTGAGAAATCACTTCCCAAGAGGGATTGCCACGTTGTAATCCCTTTTCTGTTCTCCTCCTGGCACTTTTGAGTACACATGCACACAGGCCCAGCTTGATTTTCAAGCTGTTAGATCTGGGATTTGAACCATGGTTGGCCGCGTGGGAGCCCAGCACCATACCACTATGCCACCTGATGTCCCCCCTGCTTTTATTGAAGTTTTCTAATTTATTTCTTCCATGAGAGAGAACACAAAGAGACTCAGACAGACACAGGCACCACAATAGGGTCTTCACTGTGATCTACTCCTAGTCTTAGTCTGTTGAGAGTGTTCGAGGCGGTCCTGGGACACAAACCCAGGACAATTTTTTCCCACATGGGTTCAGTTGTGTTTTCGCTGCATCACCACCTGGCCCTGTCCTGCTGCCTTCTTGAGGATGTTGATGCCTTTAAGAGTCCTTTCTTTTTCTCTCCTATGCACTCACAAGAGAGAGAGTGAGAGAGAGTGAAAAAAAGCACCCCCTATGGGAAATGGTCACACTATAATCCCGTCTCCTCCACCTCTTTTTCCATGTGGAATTTTGGGTGTGCACACACATATACCTAGTATGTTTTCCAAACCACCAGGTCCAGGACTTGAACCATGTAGTCTGCCATGTGGGATCCAGCTGCCTTAACCACCACACCAGCCTGGCTCATCCTTTAGATTCTCATGGCTCCTACTCCCCTTTCCTCCCAGTCTGTATTGCTGCCATGGGCTAAGCTCGTGGAGAGTGCCCTGGGAAGGCCCTGTGGTAGACCAGAGAGAGTGGAGGCAGACTCTTCCTTTCTGATTGCAGATTCTGCTTGCTGCTTCTACTGGCTTGGTGGCCGTTAAAGCTTTGCTCTCATTGAGATGTCCCTGACTGTCACCGAAGATGTCTCTGATATAGGAGAGATGTTTTCATCTCACTCCACTCTATTTTCCCAGATGAGGCTGTAGGCCTTCCCACTCAACGTCTGATGGCTCAGATTTGGAGGAGTGGCTTGTCTGATTTCCCTGGGCTGGCTCTGGGACAGTGTTGCTGCTTCTTTCATGACAGCCACTGTGCCCCATGCCACTGCTCCCCAGGTGACAGTAGATCCCCAGGCTGACCTGTCTCCTTTGTCTTGACCCACCTCTTCTCTCTGTTGTCAAGGCTAAAAGCCAGTCTTTTTCTTTTTTTTTTTTTTTAAGAAAAACAAAACCCTTTTTTGGAAAATAATTATTTATTTAATTTTATTTATTATTATTATTTTAAAATTTGCTGCGGGGCACATGTGCTCACCAGAGAAGAGAGAGAAGGAAAATGAGAAAGCAAGTTACCAGGTCCAAGACTCAAACGACAGTTGGCCAGTGGGAGTCCAGCGTTTTAAACACCATGCCACCTGCTGGCCCCAATAGCCACTCTTGTGAGGACAGGCACTAAGCGCTATGCCCTAGAGTCAGAATTCCTGGTTTGTGTCCCAGCCCCTCCACTCGCTAAATCATTCATCTCTCTGTCTGTTTCTTCACCTTTAAAACAGAGAAGTGATAGTACCTAACTTGCCTGGTATGAATTAGATGAAACCAATTACTCACACATAGTAAATGCTAAATAAACATTTGCCATTATTGGCTATGACTGCCTGTCCTGTCATCCCACTTCTGACCTTTGTCTTTTCTAGTTTTCTTCCCATCATGACTACCCAATGACCTTTGACCAATTTTAGGAAGTTGCTCTAGTTTATACCCCTGGAGTTTTCCCCTGTCCCCATCTCACAGAAATCAACCTTTCCTTCTCAGCAGCCTCAGGGAGGCACCTCTGCTTTGAGGGCTTCCACTCTTCCATGGCCAGCCTCTACCGAGGTTCTTCTTCATCTTTCCCCATGCGTGGTGCCTTTGTGTCACACGTCTGTCCGCTTGATGTCCTTTGCCCCACCCAGTTAAATCTGCCATGTTAAAAGACTCTACTGTTTAGTCATTTACACCTCTGTGTGATCTCTGTGACCAAATTATACAAGTGATTGCTTGCAAATGCAAGTTATTCCAAGACTACACGCATTTGGAGCCTTATTACAAGAAGTTTCAGAGAGGAGCTCCACGCCGTGCTGGCGAGTCAGCTCAGCGCTTTACCCATTGATGGGTCTTGGTCTTGTTCCTGATCCTTCTCTGCACCACCATTGTCCTCCTCCCTCCTGTTGGCATATTCAGTGTACTTGTCTGTTTCCTGGCCCCTGTGCCCTCTATCTGCAGCCCCTCTCTGCTCCCCCTCCTGGTGTACCCTGTGGTGACATCACCGCTCCCACATGATCATCCTGTTTTCTATGGCTTCCACACTCTTGCATCTCTTTGTGGCTAGACCTGGGAGGCAGACAAGCCTCCCTCTCCTCTTGGCTCTACTCCTTCCTTGTGTAAGCTCTGTTTCCCTAGAGCAGACAGACCAGTACTAGCCTCATTATATTGTGAGAATTAAGAGGGAGAATAAAATCAGGTTTGTGTGATGCTTGGGATATGGAAAATGCTGTTAATAGTTGTCGTTATTAATAAGGACAATACGAATAATACTAATAATTATTAGTATAATAGTATACTTCCTTCCTCTCTCTCCCTTCTGTCTAGACGATCGGGTATGACCCCATCATTTCTCCAGAGGTCTCGGCCTCCTTTGGTGTTCAGCAGCTGCCCTTGGAGGAGATCTGGCCTCTCTGTGATTTCATCACTGTGCACACACCTCTCCTGCCCTCCACGACAGGTAGGTATGTCCCTGCCTTGTGAATTGATCACAGAAGCCACAGACCAGACAAGGAGGGGGCCCTCAGTCCAGTCCATGGGAGGGCCCACTCAGGTCCTGTGGAGCACAGTGTTGCCTTTTAGATCCCTCTGTGTCAGGCAGAGGGGACAGGACAGCAAGATGCACGGGTGATGTGGCGAGCTGGGCACATATGCAACCAGTGACCCCTGTGGGTGCTGCCTGGGGCTCTTGCAGGGCTTTCTGAACCCCCACCCCACTGGAAGCAGTAATAACTCAAGAACTTTTAGGATGTTTTAAAACTGAGTCTAGCCCAGATTCAGGATAGGAACCCCTGTCCCAGGGCATCTGAAAAGGAAGAGGAGACCAAAAAGTGCTGTCCAGGAAGAGAGGCCTCTGGAGAGAGAGCTGGTTCACGGGCCGTGCTGAGCAGGGGGATCCAGGCACCATCATAGCAGGAAGTGGTCTCCCTTTCTTCCAGGTTTGCTGAACGACAGCACCTTCGCCCAGTGCAAGAAGGGGGTGCGTGTGGTGAACTGCGCTCGCGGGGGAATTGTGGATGAGGGCGCCCTGCTTCGGGCCCTGCAGTCTGGTCAGTGTGCCGGGGCTGCACTGGACGTGTTTACGGAAGTAAGTGCTGGGCAGCCTCAGTGTTGGGAGGAGGACAGACATGAGGGGTGGGGGGGCCCAGTGTTTTACGGAAGGCCTTCAGCTCACTGTCCCTGGTGTCCATGTAGACAGGGCAATTGTGCTGCCAAAACCAACCAACCAACCAACCAACCAACCAACCAAAATAACCCCAAAAAAACCACCTGTATGGTTTGAGCCCTTGGGGAGCATGTTATAAAGACAACCATGTTTTCTTTGCAAAACTCAGGGTTTTTTTTATTTTTTATTTTGTGTGTCAGAGGGCACATGCACTTATGAAGGAGAGACAGAGATAGAGGGAGAAAGCATACCCCATGGAGAATGGTCACACTGTAATTCCTTCATTTCTCCAGCCAGTCAGGATTTGGGGCATGCACACACACACATGCCTGGCATGTTTTTCAAGCTCCCGGAGCTGAGATTTGAACCATGTGATATCTGGCTCCCTTACTCACTAAGCCATGGGGCTGAATCCAGATTTTAAATAGGTCCTGGCCCCAGATTTTAAATAGGACCCAAATCCTGGTCTTAGGCTTCTTAGACTGCTGCTGTCTTGATAAGCCAGGGGAAGGGTGCGGCAAGTCAGTTCTGTGGTTGAGGCTTTGGCACTGGGAGAGGGTGGTTTAGTGTATTGTTACCGATCCCTGATCAGAATGTGGTCTCATTGCCAAGAAGATGGTCCACCCATATCCAGTGCTATTCGTTCCACCTTCCTCTCTTCCCAGGGAGGGACAGAGCTCAAGGATAATGGTGGTGTTCTCTCAGGGCCCTCTGGGTGGGCTGCTCTCCCAGGAGGAGAAGGCTCAGCCTCACGCCAGATGGATTAGGGAACAGTGCATTTATTTATTTATTTGTTAGTTTTTCGAGGTTTTTACCTTAGAGAGAGAGAGACAGGAACAGTGAGAGGGAAAGTGAGAAATCACTACTGCCCCCAGAGGTATGGTCATGCCCCAATCCCTTCTCCTGGGATCTTGCACCTGGCATGAGTTTCAAGCCACTGGGTCCAGGACTCGAACTGCAGTCGGCCATTTGGGATGTAACCACTGTGTCATCTACTGGCTCCAGGAAGAGTACATTTCTGCCTGAGTGCATCAGGCTCCTCTTCATGAGGCGGGGGAAAGAGCACGGCCAGTGGGCTGCGTTTCTAGCTGTGTGACCTTGGCAAGTCACTGGCCTTCTCTGAACCCTGGAGCACTCTGTCTCTTCCCAGCCTAGGCTCACTATGTGTTCTCGTTTTACTCTTGGTCACTTTTCTCACCTGAAGCTCCTAGAAGGCAGGGCATCGCTTGCCCCTCTTTGTGTTTCCATCCCCCCAACCCAGCACCTCCTCCTGCTCTCTTTGGCATCCACATACCAGTCGCTACTGAGTGGCTGGGCCTAACAGGGTTATGTGGCCAAAATTCAGTGGGACCTATGGGGCCCTGGGGAGAATAGCCAGAGGATAAGAAACCTAAGTAACATTCCCAAGGGCAAGGGACACAGGGGTAGAGGTACCCCCAGGGAGCAGCCTGTCCTGCTGAGAGCCAGGGTGCAGGCACTGTGTGGAGTGCTTGAAGAGTCCAGCGAAGCGCCCTGACATGTGGGATGAGGGTGAGTTTCGAGGAAAAGAAACCAATAACAACACTGCTGCTGATTGAGCCTCAAAGGGCCATAATTCTCATAATGATGTCACCAGGTAGACAATATTAACCCACTCCTTAGAGAAGGAAACCGAGGCTTACAGAGATGGAGGTTTGCCCAAAGGCACCTAAGTGGCAAACAGTGGTGGGATTTAAATCCAGTCCATGTTTGCAGCTCTGTCTCATGAATGTCACATCATAGTAAGGGCATTTATGAGAAAGCCGGTTATTGGGTTCATTGACCACCCCCACAAACAGATGTAGAAGGTGGTGTCGCTCTCTCCTTCCTCCCCTCCAACTGCCTTTATGTCCTGGCGTGGCCTGAGGGGGTGCGGTCAGTCTGTACTGCCAACCTGGAGCCATGTCTTTCTGGACAGGAGCCACCACAGAACCGAGCCTTGGTGGACCACGAGAACGTCATCAGCTGCCCCCATCTGGGTGCCAGCACGAAGGAGGCCCAGAGCCGCTGCGGAGAGGAAATCGCCGTCCAGTTCGTGGACATGGTGAAGGGGAAGTCTCTAGCAGGGGTTGTAAGTATCACCACATGGGGCTGGGACCCCAAGTCCGAGAGAGGAGAGAGAGGAGGGAGAGGAGGGCGTTGTGTAGGGCATGTTGAACAGACTCATCCTGAGAGCCAGTGGGCAGCGGTTCCCTGGCCCTGGCCCTTATAGCTGAGGCCTGGGCAGCAGGAGCTCAGCTTGGTCTTGTTACACTGTAGCCTTACTACAGGGACTGTGGCCCTTTTCAGGCCAGCCTCCAAAGGCCTCTTTGTTCTCCACATGCCCTGGCAATGGAGGAGTGTTGCTTGGGTGCTGCTGGTCGCAGTGGTGGGGGTGGGGTGCAGTATGGTTGTGTGTGAGCCTCTGGAGGGAGCCCGCACTCCTACACTCCCATCTTAGACTCTGCACAAGGTCTCATCCTGCCCGCCCTCTGTCCTTCCTCCCACCATGAGCCCTCCACACCGGATGGCCTTCCGTTCCCCAGATTATGGCATAACATCCCCGATTCCGGTCTTCGTTTACATCAGGCCCTCTAAACTTAGCCCGTCTCAGTCAGTCAGTCCTTGGGTATTTCTTAAGCTCCAGTGGGTGCCATGCTGTCACTGCCCTTGGGGAACACGGATGGATGAGGAAGATACAGCTTTCCTTTGGTGGCTGGTGGAAGCTGTCACCCATCTACAACCAAAGTATGGGTGGCCTTATGTGTTCTCTACAGGCGGGACTGAGCTGGGAAGGTGTGTCCCTGCCCCGCCTCTTGCTGACTGCGGCCTGTTCCCCCTCTCTCTCCAGGTCAATGCCCAGGCCCTCACCAGTGCTTTCTCTCCACATACCAAGCCTTGGATTGGTCTGGCAGAAGCTCTGGGGACACTGATGCGAGCCTGGGCTGGATCCCCCAGAGGGACCATCCAGGTGGTAACACAGGGTGAGCCTGGATCTGGTCAGCTGAACAGGCTGACCAGGGGACCCAGCAAAGGGAGGGGAGAGGGGAGAGAGGGGCATGAACTCTGCCTCTCTGTGAGTGTCTGCTGCAGGCCACTAGTGAGGGACCCAGAGGTGACCCAGATCCTGCTTTGGGTTTAGCTCACGTCTGCGATTGTGGGGCCAAAGGGAGGAGTATAAAAAGTCATTGGGGGGGCATTAGGTGGCATGGAAATTAAGGTGCTGGGCCCCACATGGCCAGCTGTGCAGTTCGAGTCCCAGAGCTGGCACTTGAAAAAATCACTGGGCCTATGAGCATGTATGCCCAAAATCCTGAGAGAAGAATGGAAGAGAAGAGACTGCATTGTGGCCATCCTCTCTGGGGTGTGTGTGTGTGTGTGTGTGTGTGTGTGTGTGTGTGATTCTCACTTTCTCTCTCTTTCCATCTCTCTGGTTAGCAGATGTACCCTACAGAAAAAAGTCATTGGAAAGATATGTTTAATTTTTCATAAATCATGTTTGTATGGCATTTTACTTTTCATTAATTAGTTACCTTTGTAAAGGTTTTGCCTTAGGCATGTGAGTTGTGAGAGAGAGAGGAACAAGGGTGAGAGGGAAAGTGAGAAATCACCCCCCAGAGGGGATGGCCACCCTGCATTCCCTTCTCCATTCTCCTCTCAGAATCTTGGACATGTACACACGTGTGCCCGGAGTGAGTTTCAAGCCACTGGGTCTGGGACTCAAACTGAGGTCAGCCATGTGGGAGCCCCAGCCACTTTTATAATGGCTCCAGCATGGTGCAAGTGTGGCTGTGTGACCCGTGGAGGGGTCCGGTTTCCTCAACCCTGTGGAGGCTTGTGCTCCCCCACTGGCTGTACATCCCTGGGGAGAGATTGTGGGGTAGGGGGGTTAGACCTGAGCATCTCTGTACCTGTCAGGCCCCAGATAGCCGGGCCATGGTTGCTTCGGTTGCTCCTTCCTGCTTCCACTTCCTGAGGCCACAAGGGTCTGAGTGCCAGATAGGGGTGGGAGTAGGGAAGTTTCCAAGTATCCCCTGGGAGGACAAGCAGGCTAGGGCACCAAGTGAGCTGGGCTGAGTTTTGGCAAAGAGTCCCTCAAGCTAGGTTTCCTGACTTGGACCCTGCAGTGTCTCCAACTGCTCCAAGCCCTCTGGGGTGGAGGGACTGCCAGGGGAGGCTGTGGCTGGAGTGCCCAGGGCAGCAAAGTGCCTTAGCTGAGAGCTCTGGCCAGTGGTTTCCTGTCCTGTCCTGTGTTGCTCATCAGTGACCCTAAGTGGCTTTCCTCTGTCCCCAGGTACATCCCTGAAGAATGCTGCAAACTGCCTAAGCCCCGCAGTCATTGTCGGCCTCCTGAAAGAAGCTTCCAGGCAGGCGGATGTGAACTTGGTGAACGCCAAGTTGCTGGTGAAAGAGGCTGGCCTCAATGTGCGCTCCCCTACCCCACCTCTGCCCTGTCAGCACTACTTTTCTCCCTGGCATTTTCGGAGCCCTCTCACTGCTCTGCTCATGGGGGTGGTCCAGGGTGCAGGCCCCACTGTGTGTAAGAAGTAGCTGGAATTTCTTCATCCGCATTCTGAGTGAACCCAGCACTCATGGAAGTGCTTCATGTATAAAAAATGAATGCTCTGTGAATGGGATGTGGTAGCAGTAGCTCGTTTCTGGACAGGAAGCAGGAGGGTCCAGCTTGGTTTTCCATCTCCCCAGTTCCCACACCTCTCTCCAAGCCTGACCTGTCCTGGCGAGGTCTCTCTCTGAAGTCCCAGAGAGCTGCTGCTCGCTGGTGCAGGGCTCTACTCCATTTGCCCTACCTCCCACTCCCCAACCCCTTCCCTGACCCCAGTTGCCAAGTCTGTTGGCTGAGCTGGAGCCTTGCAAATGGGTGATTAAGCCGAGGGAGAGACACAGCCGGGAAGAGTAACCACACCTCCATGCCTTTCCTCCTCAGGTCACCACCTCCCACAGCCCTGCTGGACCTGGGGAGCAGGCTTGTGGGGAATGCCTCCTGACCGTGGCCCTGGCAGACGCCCCCTACCAGGCTGTGGGCTCAGTCCAGGGCACCACGCCTGTGCTGCAGATGCTCAATGGAGCTGTCTTTAGGCCAGAAGTGCCTCTCCGCAGGGGCCTGCCTTTGCTTCTGCTGCGAGCTCAGTCCTCCAACCCCGCCATGCTGCCTACCATGATTGGTGAGGAAGGGCCTACAGGGCAGGCCAGTGGGGCAGCCCTCCAGGGGTGAGGTCTCTTTCAGTACAGACTCAGTAAACTTCGACCTCCTTCCACCTCTTTCCGTGCCTCAGAGCACCTCTTGATCTGCACCACACCAAGAGTCTGTCCTGTCAGTTTCTGGAGCATTCAGAGGGTGGTTACAGAGTTCAGAGAGGGAAGGTGTCTTCTCTAAGGTCAGAGTGATATGGCCGGGATAAGACCAGGGCTCCTATTACTAGTCTAACTGTGGGTCCCAAGCCACCCTGTTAAACACAGCTTGCATCTGCCTGCATAGCCGTACCCTGGGAGCATGGGGTCATTGAGAGCAGGGTCCCTGCTTCTGCCCTGGATGGAGCCTGGCCTCAGCAAAGCCCGCAAGGTCATCCCCTCCAGTATCATGGACATCCTGGACCTGCCCCAATCCCCTAAGGCTGGCTCTTTAGATTTTGGAGCAGGATAAGGTTTGGCAGAGGGTTTACCCCCAGACCTCAAAAGGCCTAATTGTGCCATCCTTGCCAGCTGCCCAGAGGAACCTTCTCCTGCTTTTCTCCCTTTACTGTTGGCCTGGGTAAAACTGGAAGTTAGCAAGAGCGGCAGCTCTGTGGCTAGGTCTTCCCTTGCCTCAGGGTGTTCCCAGAGTCTCCAGAACATCCAGGGAAGCTGGGGAGCTGCCCTGTGGCCCCCACCTCTCAGCTCTTTGATCCTGAGAGCATCACAAGTCCAAGCCTTCTGACAGCCCCCAGCCCCTCCCTCCTCCTTCCTGCATGCCTCCTGCCAACCAGGGCTCTCTTCTACTTCCAGGCCTTCTGGCAGAGGCAGGTGTCCAGCTGCTGTCCTACCAGACCTCGATGGCATCAGATGAGGAGACCTGGCATGTCATGGGCATCTCCACCCTGCTGCCCAGCCTGGACGCATGGAAGCAGCATGTGAAGGAGGCCTTCCAGTTTCACTTCTAACCTCGGGGCTCACTGGTCTCATCCTCTGGGGCTTTTGTGAAAAAATCTGTCCACTATGGTCAATAGTCAATGGGGGAGTCGATTCTCATTCCCGGGTCTGAACATGGGCTTCCAGCACTGCTTATGCTGTAGTCATCCAGCCCTGTAGTACAGTACCATTTACTAAAGAGCCTGCCCCAGACTCCATGTGTCTTTGTGTTGTCATTATCCTAAAGAGCCACCAGAGGGCATGCTCAGGCAGCCCTTAGGCTTGGTTCTGGCTGTGGGAGGGTAGGAGGTGTGGCGGGAGAGATTGGGATGGGCAATGGCATGGGGGTGGTGCTCTGGACATGATCCTCTCCTGTTTCTAAAGTTATTCAAAAGCATTTTACAGGAACAAAGCTCAAGGTGTTTCAGATCCATTCCATCAGGGAATATGCGAGAGTACTTCCAAAAAATCACGTCGAAGTGGAATTAAAGTGATTTTTTTTAGCGCAAAACAAATTTTGAAATTCATGCATAGTTTTTTTTTTCATAATATATATTCTCCATGAACTTTCTGAATACCCCCTGCCTGCACTTTGATAAGTAAAATTTGATAAATGCATAGAGTCTTATACCAGGCACTGAGCTAGGTGCTTTGCTTTAAGAGAATTCAAGCCTGCTCTTCTGTAATCAGTCTCCTGGGGAGGGACAGTACACGGAGGTCACTGGGAGCAGGGAGTGAGATGTCAGAACACAGCAGCTTGTGATGGAGGCCACAGAGCTGCAGGAGAGTCTGAGTCCAGAGGAGGAAGTCATTTGAGCTGAGGTTGTTAGTGTCTTGGGAGACGTTTGGAAAGATTTCCCAAAAGGAAGAAAGTGTGTGTAAAAGCATAGGACCCTGAAATGTTTGGCAGGTTCCCAAAGCAAACTCGGAGGTGATTGGACATGTGTTCTTAATGTTTTTTTTTAATTGAATAGATGATTTTCATGAAAAATATGGCAGAATGGAACTCCTTCCAAAAGCTTCATTTTGGATTTTTTTCTTCTTTCTCTTTAATTCATTTGCTGTCTGTCCAATAGCATCTATTTCTGGGACTCCCACCCTGGCTAAGAAGGCCTGGCCCAGGGTGACTGCTTGGCACAGGTGGGTGAACCCACCGCTGAGGTTGGCCTCAGTGCTGCCATTGCACTAAGTGTCTGTAGGGTCTCCAGCAGAGAAGGTGACGTGAGCATCTGCAGTGAGCTCCATGTGCCATGGCCTTGCTGTTGCAGACCTTGGCGGGAATGGGCCTAGAATGACCAGCAAGGTCAGTTGTGAACAGCTCTGTCCTCGTCTGTTAGTGATCATGAGACCTCTCACAGAGCCGCAGTAGAGATTTAATGGATTAGCAAGTGATTTATAAGAAGCGAAGGTTGTTTTCCCATTCCTCTGCCTTTCTGTGAGTACAGGAGCAGGTCTTGAACTCTTACATAGAATCCCATGAGCCAGAGCCCTCCCTGAATCCTCTTCATGACTGTGATAGGCCATATCTGGACGCTGTGTTCTGACATCAGACCACCCATTCCCTCCTGTATTCCCTCCTGTTGAAAAACTCAGTACCTTACATGGCATCGGCTGAGGTGTTCGCTTGAGTCCATTGACAGCTAGAGAAACAGGTTGGGCTTGTGAAGTTAACAATTCAATTAGGGGCCCGGCCAAGGTGGCGCAGAAAGTAGGGCACAGCTGTGTGACACTGGGGATCCCGGGTTAGGATCCTGGGTCGACCTGAACTCAAAGGGTGCACCCACTTGTGCCCATGATCCTGGTTGGTTAGCAGGCTGGGGGAAGGCTGGTGTTGTGAGACCCTGTTAGGGGTAGCTGTTTTTCCCTCTCTTTCTCTCAAGAAAAGAACAAAAGGGCTAGCCCCAGAGTGCAGCAGTTAAGCCCCGTGCATCAGAAACTGGATCTTTCACAGCCAACTGTGGTTCAAATTCTGGCCCTGGCAGGCTTGAAAAACATTGGTTGAATGCCTATGTGCCCCCAAATCCCAAAAAGGATTGCAGCATGGTGACTACACTCTCATGGGGAGGGGTGCTGCCTCTGTCTCTCTTTCTGGAGAGCACATGTATCCTCTAACAATAAAAAATATAAAAATTATAACAATGTAAGTATATATATATATATATATATATATATATATATTTATTTATTTTGTAATTGAGCTTGGGGTCAGTCAGTAGCATGGTGGTTAAGGCAGATGGATCCTCTATGGCTGACTGCACTGTTCAAGTGCTGAACCTGGCTGCCTGAAAATCATGCCAGGCTCATGTGCGTGCGTGCCCAAAATCCTGAGAAGAGAACGGAAGAGGGGATTGCCATGTGGCTATTCTCCCCAGGGGTGATTTGTCACTTTCCCTCTCTGTCTCTGGCAAGTGCATGTGTCCTATAGCAAATTAAAAACAAACAAAATTAAGCTCTATTTTCAGCCTCTCAGCATCCTCAAAAATCCCTGGTCTAACTATGTTGTGTGCACTGAAGTAGTCAGAACAATTGCAGAAAGCCAAGTGGCTAAAGCATCGCCAGATATCTGCTTAGATGTGAATCACACAAGAAGTCAGGAACGTGCCATGGCGTCATCACCCGTGGCTGTCCACAGAACTACTCCCCGGTTGAAAGGGCAGGATTAATTTCACAGCACTAGCTGGTGCTACGTGGAGGGTGGCCTTGACTCTGTTACTTTATGCCGCTTATGTCTAGAGTGGCATTCCACCCTCCGTGTTGGCTGGGGAGCAGGGCCTCTCTAAAGTCAGTGCTGGAGGCAGGGTAAATGCTGGCATGACAAGAGGGCACTGGCCTCCCAGTGCTGACTCCGGCAGCTGTGAGATTTAGAGACATGGGAATGTGTGTATGTTTAATGCCCTCCCCAGCTCCAGAGATCTGAAGTTGCCTCACGGGCAACTGGACCATTCCTCACATCTGTTCTAATGACCTGTGTTGAGTAACCTCCGCTGAGATGAATATAACATGGCCCCGTACTTGTCTGTTCTCACTCCACCCTCTTTCCCGTTCCCGCCTTCCTGCGCCATGTTTTGCCCACATAGAGAAGTTCATTTGCTTGGTACCAGCAGACCCTAGGGAACTAATGATGACAGAGCAACTGGAAACTGATTTCCTCATGTGCTGGCCATATCTGGGGCAGAGGGCTTTGTTCAGGGCAGGCAAATGTTTGTTTTAATAAGTGGACCCAGTGTTCATGAGGAAGGCCTCGGCCTCATTATGAAGCTGGCGAGGAAGGGCAGTTGGAGGGGGCCAGGGACCTCTGCACGTGGTGGCAAAGACACCATCTCGAATGCGCTGGAGTGTGGCAGTATGGGCAGTGCCCATTCAGTTGGTCAGCACCCCGATAGCCTGCTGGTTAAATATGTTTAGTATCATTCCCGGGTTCTGTCCAAATGACTCTAGTGGAGACAGGGCTGGGCACGGCAGTCTGCAACATGGAAGGTCCTTGCTGCTAACGTCCTTGGGGGTGGTTTCAGCCCCAAGACCCCACGCGTTCCTGAATGGACAGAAAGCCAGGACCAATGCCTGTATCTCAGAACTCAGGTGAGCATGGGCTCCTAACTGTTGCTGAGGAAGAGCAGCCAGGAGTAGCATGGAGGATTTCTAAACAGCAGAATAGAGAAGGATTTCAAGGATTTCAGCACACATCTTTTTTTTTTTCTTAGAGAGGTTTTTGCTATAGGGTGTGTGCGCTCGCCAGAAAGAGACAGAGACAGAAAACAAGAAATCATCCCCCGGGGGGTTGGCCATGCCTCCGCAATCCCTTCTCCTCTTGGGGTCTTGGGCATACATGTACACACGCCCGTAGTGAGTTTAAACTACCGGGTCTGGGACTTGAACCATGGTCAACTACATGGGAGTCCAGTGACATAGACATCAAGCTAACTGCTGGTTCCTCAGTACACATCTTGGAGAGAGGGCTTGGAAAGGAGGGCAGCTGATACAGGGTTAGCTGCTCAAATCAGGGTTTATCTCAGATTCGGTGGTGGCTGTTGTGACATGAGCCTTGGGCAAAACAGTGGTAGGAGGGCCCAGCCTCTTATTCCCTCCATTAACCCTCCCAGCCATGGAGCTATTCTCTCCTCTAAAGTGCCCCTTTCTCATGGGGGTGGTCAAGAATGCTTTCTAAGAGGGAATGAATCATAACAACCAGATGACCAAGGGGTGGATCTGTAGCTCCTGCTGGCCCCTGCCTGCTGATTGTCTCTCTCTTTGACCTTTGGATCAGGGAGGAAAGTTGATGCTTTGCCAACTTTATTTGCTTTCTATTTATCACAGTGCTTAGAAGGTGGAAAAAAACCATACTGGAATCAGAAGGGGACAGTGGGAGGGTACGAGGTGAGTGTACCCAGTCCTTTAGGCAGGTGGTCTGGCAGACCGAGGTGCATGTCGGTTTATGCAATTTCTGTTTCTGGGTTCCAGAAAATACAGGCATCATCTTCTCTTTTTTATTGGCATATACTGTGTTAGATTAGAATAAGGTAATACAGTTTAGAAATGCATAGAAAACCGTAAGAAATGAACAAAGATATCATATAACAGAAAATAGTAAAGCTGTGACAGATGATAAGAAAGCTTATTTGGATCTCAAAACAGACAACTTATCTGCCACATTTCTGAGGGCCTAAGAAGATCTGAGAAGAGGCCTTTTCTCCATTCTTTCATCTCGCCCTTTCACTCAGGGCCTCCAGTCCACAGCACCACAAGCCTGTGACAGTGACTGCAGCGGGGAAAGGCATGAAGGGCCGTCTAAGGATGGCCCCTCCCTCTACGGGACTAGTGCTTGTGGAAGTTGCTGTGTCCAGTCTGATATATTGTCCAGCTAACGGTGGTATTTAAAAATAAGATTTGTGGGCACAAGATCTGCTAGCGTATCCCAGGAATCACTCCACATGCCTAGAATTTAAAAAGGCAAAAGAACATTCAATCATGAATCTCATCCCGGGAAACTGACCCCCAGTACCAGCTCTCTGTCCTATGCGTGGCTGTGCAGAGGAGCCCTCCTCACTGCATGCCGAGGTCTGGGTGCTCCTGATGCTTGGCCAGCTCTGAGCTGTAATGCCGAGGAACCCGTGCCCAGTTCTGCAGGAGCCGAGACTGGGGGGTTACGCAGAGTCCCATCACCCACCCTGCCTGTGGTAGGAGAGCATGCCGGGCAGCTGGGGAGTGTGGAGACATGCCAAGCTCCAGAGAACGTGGCTTGGACACGAGCCCTTCATTTCAGCCATCCTCTCCTTGTTGGACGGTCATTGCCCAGGGGAACATCAGCATGAGGAAAGTCCAAGAACCCCAGTTGTAGGCTCAATACTGTGTAAGCACCACTGAGGGGCTGGTGGATCTGGGCAGGGAGGGAAGCTGATTTGGAAATTCTCCCTTGGAAGCTCAAGCACTTCCTCACACACTTCTCATGACTGCACTAGCTTGACATAGTTAATAATTCCCTCTTTGTCACCGACTTGTCCTTAAGAACCATATTTTGGGGCCAGTGGGTGACATGGTGGTTAAGGTGCTGGACCCCCACATGGCCGACTACAGTTTGAGTCCCAGACTCAGTGGTTTGAAACTCACACTGGGTACGTGTGTGTGCATGCCCAAAGTCCTGAGAGAAGAACGGAGAAGGGATTGAGGTATGGCCATTTCCCCTGGCTCTCTGGCTCTCCAGCGAGTGTACATGCCCATGCCCTATGGCAAAAATCTCTCTCTAAAAAAAGAACCGTATTTCAAACAAACAACTCCCTGGTGATGCCAGAGTCTCGTGAGCTAATGTACCGAGCTTGTCCTTCAGCTTTGCCTTGGCCATCAGCCTGCCTGTCCACCTCACCACCGTGGTCAGGAACAAGTGGGGCACCCCTTGTCCAGCACTTTCCCTGTACTCTCTCATGCTGCTCCATCTAGCTCCTCTCTCCAGCAACCTCTCCCGTTCTTCCCCCTGCTCAACATCCTGCCCTTGGCATGCCTTTTTTTTCCCCCTTTAAGCTAACAAAGGAAGAATTTTATTTATGTATTCATTTGAGCGATTTTTGCTATAGGGTGCGTGCACTCACTGGAGAGTTGGAGAGAGACAGAGAAAGAAAATGAGAAATCACATCCCCCCTTCCCCTGGCCAGAGGGGATGGCCATGCTATAATCCCTTCTCCTCTAGTCTCCTCTTGGGATTTTGGGCATGCACACACATGCACTTGGTGTGAGTTTTAAGCCACCAGATCTGGGACTTAAACCGTGATTGGCCATGTGGGAGTCCAACAACGTAACTATTATGCTACCTGCTGATCCTACTATGAAGAAAATTTTAAACTTGGGCAAGGGGACTGTATTAATTGAGATTTGTGAGTTGTAAAAATAAAAACAATTTCTTGCTCTTTCATACTGTTTATCTTCTCTGTCTGTAGTGAACCTGAAGGAAATGGGTTTATCCTTTATCTGAAATACTTGGGACCAGAAGCAATTCAGATTTTGGATATTTTTCAGATTTGGGAATGTTTGCATATGCATTCTAAGACATCTTGGGATGGGACCCAAGTCTAAATATGAAATTCATTTATGGTTCATACATACCTCACACACATAGGCTAAAGGTAATTTTGTGTCAGATTCTTTGTGTGTGAAACCCCTTGCAGGAGCACTTACAGGGCAGAATCCGGGTGTAGAAGAAGGATGGCAGCTGAAGGGCAAGAGTGTCTTCTTTTCTCTTGGGGAAAAACTGTGCTGTGTGCCTGCATTTTTACTATGCCCCATCTCATGAGCTCAAGTGTGGAATTTCCTACATGCAGATGTCATGTTGATGCTCCAAAAGTTCTAGATTTTGGAGCATTTCAGACTTGAGATGTTCCGATTAGGGACGCTCAACCTGTATCTGGGTTTACAAACTACAAGATTTCAATTCTGAAAATTCCATTTTCTTTTAAAAAAAATACCATAAAGGGACCAGCAGGAGGCGTGAAGGTTAAGGCAACTGGGTCTCCCATAGCCAACCATGTAGTTTGATTTTCAGACCTGGCTGCTTGAAAATTATGCTGAGCACTGTGCATGTGTGCCTAAAATCCAGAGAGGAGAATAGAGGAGAAGAGATTGCTGCATAGCTGTCCTCCCTCGGGGGTGATCACACACACACCCCTATGGCAAAACAAACAAACAAACAAACACAACAAAAGGAAGAAGAAAGAAAAATTCTCCCACTTCTCTCACCCCGATTCTTCTCCATTTATCTCTTCTCTCCTGATACCTGTTCCCACTAATGTCTTAAACCTCACTGCTTCTCCCCAGAAGGAAATTCATGAGTGAGAGTTGTTAAAGGTCCCCCCGCCTACAACTCACTGCAGCTGAGGCTGCTGTCTCTAAACAGAACGTTCTACCACCCTGTTCATGAATCTGTCCCCTGCACACTGGTGTGTACCTCTTCTGAAGCTATTCATCTTTGTTACTGACCTCATCCCTTTGGAGTAAAAAGTTGCAGAGATAGGTTCACAGCCTGTTTCCTCTTATGGGTGTTAGTGTTGTTTCCATCAAGCTTCAAGGTATGCTTACTATCTTGAATAGGTCAGGTAAACAACTGTGACCTGTTTTTCACATTCAAGATTTCAGCACATTGTCCTTACCCCAGCTTTTGCTTTTCCAAGGCAAAGAGCCCCAAAGATGTTAATTGCTCTTCATGATACCAGCCCCCCCTCCCATCTCTGATTATTTCAAAAGCTAAGAACTCTCTCTGGATGGCTTACAGGGCCAAACTGCATCTGACTTTCATGTCACCAACCCTGCAAACTCTCACTCACCATCTTTAGATGGGACGCCGGGCATACTTTCGGCGATGAAGCTCATCCACTTGTTCTAGGTACCAAGTACCTGGGAAGAGGCTGTTTGTGTCACCAGGTGGTGAGAAATTCGCTGTGGAATGTGGAGAAGAAACAATACTTATAAAGAGCTACAGGGTTTGGCGGGGAGAAAGTAGTGATAGGGATGCCTACGGCTTTGCAGTGAAGCTCTTCTGGCCGTGTTGGAAGGGGCTGTAATGCACCAAGTTAAACACTGTACCAGTTGAAGAACCAGAGAAGCAGCCACCTTGGATCTAAGACTTAGGGAAGGTCTGGCTACTAAAAGTTTTGTTGGGGGGCAGGTGGCATGGTGGTCAAGGCACTGAACTCTCACATGGCCAACTGCAGGAGTCCTGGACCCAGTGGCTTGAAAATGACATCAGGTACATGTGTGTGTATGTCCGAAATTCTAAGAGGAGAAAGAAGGGATTGTAGTATGGCCATCCTCCCTGGGGGTTGATTCCTCACTTTCCCTCTCTGTCTTTTTCCAGTGAGCACATGCACCCTATGGCAAAAACCTAACCAAAAAAGTTTTATTGAGCCAGTTGGTGGCATGGTTAAGGTGACCGCATTCCACATGGCCAACTGCACAGTTCAAGTCCTGGACTGGCAGCTTGCACAACACACTGGGGGCATGTGCATGCACACCCAAAATCTCAAAAGGAGAAATGGAGAAGGGATCGTAAGCGTGACCACCCCACAAGGGGGATTGTTACTCACTTTCCTCTTTCTCTGTCTCTCTCAACAGGTGCGTGCACCGCGAACAAAATTGGAAAAAAATAAAAAAGGTTTATCAGAGTATGACATCTTTCTACAGTAAACATGCTCTTTGTCCACCCCATTGAAATCTTACCACATTCTTCTGCCAGGGGTTCCTAGTTAGAGGCCTACCTTAGAGCTTGCTGTTTCCTAACGGATTCTTCCTCTCTAGCCAGACGTTCTCTGACTCTGATACAGTGCAGCACTTCAGTGCTTTGTCCACTAATGTTCACATCACAGACTTTTCTTCTTCAGTTTGCCAGAGGGTGCATACACTCAGCAGATAGAGACAAAAGGGGAGAGGGAGAAAGCACCCTCATGGGGAATGGTCATGCCTCAATTCCTCCACCTCTGTCTCTCGATCCTGTTGGGAATAGGAGCATGCATACACACACTTCTGGTGTGTTTCTCAAGCTGCCGGGTTTGGGACTTGAACCATGCAATTGGCCACATTGGATCCAGCTGCCTTAAATGTGGGCCCTGACTTTATTTTTGCTCTTCTTTTTTTAAAACGTGTTCTCTATTCTAGATGAGACCAATGACCTCTAGGTTTAGGTATTTTGGAACATTCCCAATTCCATGAGTTCTTTCTCCTTTTCAGACGATGATGCTAACCATGTGCCCCAACTTTTTATTTGGGAATATATAGTGAAAACAGTTTTAAAACCTCCACTGTGGTCTCTCCACTCCTACCTTTGGCTTAGGTTTGTTTTTCACTTGTTGCTTTTTTGGGTTTTTGGATTTAAAGTTTGGTGGAAAAGAGGGCAGTAAGGAGCAGACAGTAATACTTGTTGATAATGGATTCATTTAATCTGTTTGGACAGCCTGCGAAGTCGGTAATTTTTCTGAAGATGACAGTTACAAATTGGCCCAGCTCAGGTTTTGATCTGGATTTCTAGTATCTGAGATCTTTCAACTGTTGCACGGATGGCATTTTCAAAGTTTATATTTCTGACTTCCATGGGACTATATCGTGCAGCATCGTTCTGGGTGGTTGGCTGGAGTCTACACAGGAAGCCACATGCTGCCTCCTATCTCCAACTCTGCCTTCTGCTTCTCCACCCAGTTCTTGCCCTTTTGATCCAGCAGATTTTCTCTCAATCTTTTCTCATAGCTGTCTTGACCATGGCCCACTATATTCTAGATTTCTGAGGAATTCTTGCCTCTCAGCTATTAGCATAAAAACTGAGATGAATTACCTTCCCCTTTTATTTTTCTGCCCTTTTTCTTACCTTTGTGGTAGTATTGCTCTCTTTGGTTCATTATTTCTGTGAATTCCTCAGGAGACACACGCTTCCTGGAGGCCAGGCGTTTTGGCAGGTCTGATGCACTAGACACCAGCTTCTCCAAGGGGGACCCTGGGAAACAAAACCCAGATTGTTAAGCCTGCTTCACTGTCATGATCACTACTGCTACTATTGACTGCAACAAAAAGCCAGGTTCCCTGGGAGCTCACACCCTGGTGAAAAGGGATATGTGAGTGGTTTTGTATACCAAGAAACAATAAGCAAGCATAAATATTAGCAAGTCATACAGACAGACACACTCATTTAGTCAAGGTATAGCCCATATAGTGCTCAGATGCATGGCTTTGACCACACCAATCATAAAATAATCAATGAATACTTACTGAATATCTCAAATCTATCAAGTTCATTTTTTTTTTTTTTTGGAGAGGTTTTTGCTATAGGGGGCGTGCGCTTGCCAGAAAGACGGAGAGAGACAGAGAGCGAGAAATCACCCCCAGAGAGGATGGCCATGCCACAATCCCTTCTCCTCCATTCCCTTCCTGGGATCTTGGGCACCTACGCACACACACGCAGTGTGAGTGTAAGCAGCCGAATCCAGGACTCAAACCACGGTCGACTATATGGGAGTCCAGCGACATAGCCATTATGCTAACTACTGATCCCTATCAAGTTCTTTTTAATCAGTTACAATCAGACCGTCATTACCTCTTGCCTAAACTATTTGCTGGAGTAATCTAACCAGTTTGCCCATAGCCATCTTTGTTTCTCTTCAGCTGAGCCTCTAAGCAGTAGCAGGGGTAGTGCTTTCAATACACAAATTAGGCAAAGTTATTCCATTGTTTAAGTCCCTTCAGTGATCTTTTTCACTCTTACTTGCAACATAATCCTGTCAAGATGGCAGCCTGAGTAATGGCGATGCAGAAGGTGGTTTCTTTCTCAGGAGTGCCCGATGCAAAAATGAGACCCACCTGGAGAAGCATCTTGGGACACACGGAATGAAAAAAAACTTGCTGCTAAGCCAGAGCCATAGGAGTAGGCACCAATCCTGGAGCCAGCCAAGTCTTGGGCAGAGTGCCTGCAGGGAAAGAAGCCAAAGCCAAAAGAAACCAAAAGCACATTGGCACTGTATTCTGTGCTTCAAATAAAGCACTAATCTATTAGCCCCATCTTGTTTCAATCTTCCTCATGCAGCTAGAAATGAGTTCCGGGCACTCGTATAAAAGGACTGACTCCGTGGCCTAGTGGATAAAGGAGTCAGATCCCATATAGCTGACTATGGGGTTCAAGGCATTGCCCTGGAAACTTGAAACACTCGCCAGGTCTGTGTGAGCTTGTGCCCCAAATCTCAACAAGATGGGAACATTTAGAAGAAAGGATTGTGGTGTGACCATCCCCTTTAGGGGGGTATGTTTTCTCTCTCTTTCTCTTTGTCTCTCTAGCAAGTACATACACCCCTCTGGCAATCTAAAAATAAATTAAAAAAAATGTAAAAGAAGTCCATGGTCTAGGAATATGAAACCTTGCCAGAAGGACAGCAACTAACATCCAAAATATGTAAGACATAAGTGAGCACAACAGACTTCCAGAGTGTAAAGGGAACTTCTTCCGACTCAAGAAGATGGCGTGAGCTCAGGACATTTTGAAGGTGCCTCCAAGTGGAAGCAAAACGCTGCCCTATCCTGACCCTCAAGGCATCCATGTTGACTGGCGATGACTCAGCAGTCACAACTTTCTGATCATCCCCCCTTAGTAATCATTTGATTTCCCATAAGTGTTTTCCCCTGTGTTACATGCAGTATTTCCTTATAAAATCCACAGAATAGAAAATCAAAGAAATAATGAACAGTTGAACACTTGGTGAGCACCACTGTTGTAATCAACAACACTCAGTGTTCATCAAAACCATAGAAGGCAGGTAGGGTTATTATACATACTTTGTAGAAGGGTAAAGTGAGGCACATACAGGTTTGTTATTTTTCCAAGCTCAAATATATTGGGTTGTCATAAAAGTCATGGAAAGTCTATGTTTTTGCATAGAAAAACATAGAAAAAATATGTCATGACTTTTCTGACAACCCAATAATTAAGTAAAGAGATTTGAACCTGGGTTGTGGGCTCTAAAGTTAGACTCTTAATCACCAGGCTCTCCTAAGATCAGAAATTTTAAATAGATGAGACAGAAATAAGTATACAAGTTCCACTATTTTCTTGCTGTCCCCAAATAGAACTTACACACCGCCTGACACCCATGTACTTCACTTTGGAGACCACTGTTTCGCACAGACATGATCACACATACACCTTTGAAACAAGTTTCTTTCATCTTCCTTTCTTTGGCCTTTCTTGTCTCCTCTTTTTCTTTTCTTCTTTTAATATTCTGATATAGAAGAAGAACTTGGGACCATGGGGGTTCAGGGAAGTGGGTGAGGGCAGACACAGGCAGTACTCACTGGGCTAGAAGAGAGGCCAGGCACCCGTATAGGGAGGAGGTGTACATATTCCCATTGTGCGTGGAGAGGTATAGGGAAGCCTTGGTTTTCTTGTTGAATATGTCCAGAGAGGCCTTTTGAAGTGCTTTCTCCATGTCCTTGTTGTTGTAGGTGTCTTCCAGCTTCAGCCCCCTGTAAGGAAGCCAGAAGTGGTCAGATAAGAGACCATGAAAACGTAGGGAGGGAGCAAGGGGTAAAAACACTGCTTCTTGGGACCAGCAGTTGGTGTAATGGCTATGTCATTGGACTTCCATGTAGTCGACTGTGGTTCGAGTCCTGGACCTGGTGACTTAAACTCACACTGGGCATGTGTGTGTGCGTGCCCAAGATCCCGAGAGGAGAATGGAGGAGAAGGAATTGTGGTGTGGCCAGTCCCCCTTGGGGGTAATTTCTTGCTTTCTGCCTCTGTTTCTCTTTCTGGCGAGCGCATGCGCCCTATAGCGAACTGCCCCCTAAAACAAAAACAAAAACAAAAAACACTGCTTCTGGAGAGAAGACTTTTGGTTATGTGTTTTTATTACACTGTTTGGAAATACAGAAGAGTACAAACAAAAACACACCCCAATTGTCCTACCATTGAAAGCATATTTTTCTCATTGAATTCGTCCTTACTTTCATATGGTCTATGAAGAATCAGAATTAAGTCCTACTATACATTCCATTTAGCATGCTTTCTTAACTTAGAATCTATCTATATCCATGGCATTACGTCATCTTCTTTTTTATATTTCATTTTATTTATTTTTTTACATTTTCCTGCATTTACTTTACATATCAAAAATTCCTGCTCATTCTCAACATTATGTCATCCTCTATAACATTACTTTTAAAAACTGCAGAACCATCCAAACTAGATATACCCCACTTTAACCAGTCTTTCTACTCCAGTTCCTGACTGGTTAAATTATACAGTGAATAGTTATGTGTTCTAAACATGTGGAATTACTGAGCCAAAATGATCACATCGGTAAGACTTTTGCTTCATATTCTCCTATTACTCCTCAAAACACTAATATCAATTTGTATATTCACTATTGCTCATTTTCCCATAGCCTTGTCATTTGGTATGTGCAAACTTAAAAAAAAACCTGAAGAAAATGGTAACTTGCTTAAATTTTATACTAATGAGCATGCACGTTTAAAAAATACAATTGCATATATTTCTTTCTTTTTAGAGGTTTATGCCTTAGGGCACATGTACTCACTGGAAAGAAACAGAGACAGTGAAAGGGAAAGTGAGAAATCACTTCCCAGAGGGGATGGCCACGCCACAATCCCTTCTCCTCCATTCTCCCTCCAGGATTTTGGGTACTCACGCACACATGCCCAGTGTGACTTTTCAAGCCACTGGGTCTCAAACCACGATCAGCCATGTGGGAGTATGTAACCACTATGCCAACTGCTGCTGGCCCAATTTCTTTTTTAAGAAAATGTTCTGTTCTTTGCTTGTTTTGTACTAATGTGTTTATTTTATTTTTCTTAAATGATTATTATTTAATTTTGTTTGATATTATTATTTATATTTTTAATTTTGACCAGACAGAGGGACCAGCAGTTAGCGTAATGGCTATGTCGCTGGACTCCCATATAGTCGACCACGGTTCCAGTCCCAGACCTAGTGGCTTAAACTCACGCGAGGTGCGTGTGCGTGCGTACCCAAGATCCCGAGAGGAGAATGGAGGAGAAGGGATTGCAGCATGGCCATTCCCCGGGGGATGATTTATCACTTTCTGTCTCTTTGTCACTCTCTGTCTTTCTGATGAGCGCACGCACCCTATAGCAAAAACTTCTTGCACCCTATGGCAAAAACCTCTGCCATAGGGTGTATGCGCTCGCCAGACAGACAGAGAGACAGAAAGCGAGAAATCACCCCCCACGGGGGATGGCCACACCGCAATTCCTTCTCCTCCATTTTCCTCTAGGGATCTTGGCCACTCACGCACATGTGCCCAGCATGAGTTTAAGTCACTGGGTATAGGATGTGAACCGGCGGTTGACTACATGGGAGTCCAGTGACATAGCCATTACGCTAACCGCTGGTCCCCCTCCTCAATCTTTTTTTTTTTTTTGGCCAGACAGAGACAGAGAGAGAAAGGGAAAGTGAAAAACCAAGCTGCCAGGTCCGTGACTTGAACTGCAGTCAGCCATGTCGGAGGCTAGCACCCCAACACTGCACCACCTGCTGGCCCTGCAAGGCATTTATTTTTCAAAATACATACAAAAACATTAAGCCCATCTTCGGTATATGTTACACATTTTTATTTTCTGTATAGGGCAGGTCTTATAAGTAGGTCTTTTTTTTTTTTTTTTTTTTTTTTTGGGGGGTTTTTGCAGCGGGC